GAGTATAGATGTAAAGAGAAATAAGAACACCCACCCCCACACTCCGCATCCTCAAGACTGTTTTCTATTACTTTAATAATTAATTGTATATAACTTTGTGTTATTAAGTAGTGTTATTTAATAAATGAGATATAACTTTATTTTAAAATTAGATATGGATTGCTATATTTATAGGCATGAGTTTATATGTGCTCAGATGAATGAATCCTATGACGGATCCTATCGGATCTGATGGGATCCTATCATCCAACAGAATCCGATGGGATTCCGGGTTACGGATTGACAGTCGGTTCCGACGGAAAAAAACATTTTCTTAATTAGGGGTGAATATGCATATTTTCTCATAAGAACACTAGGGTCATACGTTCATGTCGGATTCCGTTAATTTCCAACACAGAATCCTATGGGATTCCTACACCAAGGATCCGACTGTAGGTCCTGATTCCGGAATCCTATAGTATTTCGTTGGTTTTATTGGAATTCATGGATATTTGGTATATTTACGGTCTGACCCTTGTTGGAAACCGATTGGATCCTAGTCTCGGAATGACTCTTCTGGGTACCCCACAAACTATTCAGTACGAAAAAATGTTCTACATTTCATTGTTTGCAGAAAAATCAGAATAGATACTTAATAATGATGATGTCGAGTTTTTGTTGATTCTAACGACGTTTTGTTTTACTATGAGTATCATTTAAATTCCTAATTTAAATTTCAACAGAAGATGGATTTCACTAAAACTATTCCTGGCCTTGATTTTGAACGGAAGACATACTCTAACTTTGTTTGGCTCGCATTTCTGCGCTTCACAAGTAATGCTATTCGAGTGTCTAAGATTTAAAAGTAATTTTAAACAGAAGTTACAAAAACAATTCAGCTATCTTAAATTAAGAATTACGAATTAGATGTCAATTTTAATGCCAAAACGTTCAACGAATACTTCATTGCAAACGATGTACTAGTAGAGAAAATATGAAATAATCTTGTAGTAATGCGTTTTTTGTTAGAAAAGCCCCAAAACTAGACAAGAATAAAACCATTTTGCTTATAACAACCTATACAAACATCTATCTGTTCCAGTTTCAGTCTATCAAGATCTAACCCACTTCCAGCTCAGGGTAGCCTAAGCCTACCCACTTTCAACCTACGGTAGGCTTGAGCCTCGCGAGCCTAATGACTCCGCTGCCTATGCTTGTAGACGAATTAAAATTGAAAATAGAATGCTGATTTCATAAAGTTTATTAAAATAGATAATAAAAACGTGTTCATTAGAATACATCGTAAAAACTACTTAGTCAATTTACTCAGCAATTCGTGACACTTTTGCGACGTAATTCTACTTAAATCTAACAATCGAATATATGTTTCGAAATATCTGGTTCATTTAAAAGATAATCATTGAGTTCTGGCCAAGTAAAATATACAGTAGTGCCAGATTCCCACATCTTCTGGAAAAATTCCAGATTTCGAAAGTTGTCCCGAATTTTCAAAACTTTTCTCGATTTTTTCTACATCTCGAAAAACAAACTCCGGAATTTTTTGGATTTTCGAGGTTAACATCAGGCAGCCTTCTTGGATGTGCACTTTTTTATTTAATATGTTGTAGATATGTATAAAGAGTATTTTTATTTCGAATCCGTTAGACTAAAACGTACTTTGAATGAAAAAACGGACCCAAAAAACCTTTCCGTATTTTTTCAACATTTGAAAAAAGCTCCGCAAGTTTCCAGACCTTCAAGTTCGATATTTGGCAACACTGAAAATGAGTGTTCATTTTAATCTTCAACTCAGCTTCAAACTAAATCATGGCTCATTTAATTTCGACCTATCATTCCATATATGAACTTAACGTTTCTATAAATTCGTTCTTTTCTCTTGGAAATCGCTATAGGTTCAAAATGAAGTTAATCGTCACATTACAAAAACCAGGAGAAATCAGAGGAAAAGTTTCAAAAGCAGGAAATCCCTGGTCAAAACAAAAGATTTGGTAACCCTGCATGGAATGTCCAAACGATAGATGACAATCAAAATTAAGCCGATATTTACTTGTCGGTGAAAGATGCACTTGTGGAGGATGGATCCATCCAGCATACCATTTTTATTGAAATAAGCTTGATGAATTTCGCGTTAGAAAGAATGATACAATTAAAAGCATCTTTAAAAAACAACAAGATGATAATTATTATAGATTTAATTCTGGCCTCCGATTGCACTCTTTTAAAAATATAGAAATCCTTAGAGGATTAAGGTTATCAAAAATATAGGATTTCGATAAAAAAATGACAAAAAGAGAGGATGTTTTATACACCGTTTCTGTTCAATTCTTTTGCTGTTTTTTAATTACTCTGCTTGAATACCGTTTTAATGAAGCTGTTATAAACAGTTCAGCCGTAGCAATGATCCTTATGTAATTAATGCGATGCAAAGCAGAAGCATTTCTGTAATCCGTCGCGAGTTTTTAATGCGATGCGAAGCATAGTTACCCAGATCGATCAAAACGGACGACCGTAAATCAGCGTAACGTTACCGTAAACAGTCGTTTTTGCATCGTATTCCGTCGTAAAACAGCCGTTTTAAGCCGAATTAGAGCGTTTTAACAGGGGCAGTATTACGGCCGTATTACTGCCCCTGCTATACGGGGGAAAATATAGCACGTAAAACGGGTTGTATTTGTATCGTATACGACCGTTTACTGATCGCTTTCTTCGACTGGGGTAATGCAATGCGAAGCATAGCATTTCTGTAGCTCATCGCGTACGCATCCAAATTCAGTATTCTTGTGACGCGATGACCTTAAGAACAGAATTTCGTCTGATGCTCTTTGAAACGGTGTTAGTAACATTAAAATCTCTATATCATACAAATTTTGTCCGATTTCTCCTGTCGAATTCGGTTTGGGCAAATTAAAATATGGATCGCATATTTCAGTTAGTCGATGTGATGTAGTGAGACTTGGTCTTCATTTAGCCATAATTAAAATGACGTCATAAGCAAACACTAGCCACACGCATGTTTGTTCACAGCTGATTATAGATAATGAATCATACAGATAATTAATCAATCAATCGAAATCGTTCTTTAAGAAAATATCGCTAAGTATGAATAGAATTTTCCTAGAGATGAATTTCATCATGTCTACATTAAAAGAGTGAAATATTTCTTCGAATTGAAAATTTTTCGTAGTAGATCCGATTCGAGCTTCGCATCGCATTTCGTATACGAGTTATAACGAACAACTTGATTAGAGTAGCTTGTGCCACTCTCGGCAAAGATGTTTATTAGGCTACTTCAAGTTATCCAAAGTGTAACGACAAAACTAGAGTGTCGCCTATGCCCGACGGTATGATGGTGTATTGTGTCATCTGACATCTCCAGAGTGTACCAACTTCATACATAACGCACGTATATATAGGAGAGAGATAGAAGAGAGACAGGAGAGAGATACATTAGAACAATGGAAAGTGAACAGAAAGAGAAGGAAGGAGAATCATCGAAGCGTGCCATCAATATCGGCACACGAGTGAAACTCGGATACCATCTAGTTTCTACTGAAATAAGTCGCCAATGCGAGGATCATTATAAAAGTTTTTCACAAATCGATAAATAACAATAAAGTAGATCATAAGCTTTGAAAAAGCAAATACATGAAAAAGCAAATTCTATTTCTCATAATAAAAAGAGACGTTTCAGATTACGGACATGAGTTCCCAAAAAATCTCAACCTAATTTTATTGTTCTGATAATCAGCATTCATTGCTTACTATTTTCCACAAGTTTATTTTGTATTTTATCATAAATCAATTTTTTCTGGTAATAAATAAGTATAAATGAAAATGCACGTACATAGGATGGTGTAAAATTTGACGGACTTTCAGAATATGTCGTTAATTTTTAAAAAGTATTTTCTTTTGGTAACAATATCCTCAAAATACAGAGTGAAGCTTTTTTTCTAGGGGCGTATACAGCTTTTATATCTAAGTAAAACTTCACTAAAAACCCGAAGCCTGTACATGAGCGCTTTGTGAATATTTTTTTCTGTTGAACTATTTTGTATTTTGTGCTTAGTCGTAGTATTAAACAATTTCTCAGTCAGTCCACTAAATAGGCGAAAGAAAAAATACTGTTTAAAACAAATGTCACTATAATACAAGGATTTGTCCAAAACACATGATTGTACACATTAAAAGTTGTTTTTCGTCTGAAGACAATAGCAAGATTAAGGGATTTTCCGAAATTTTCTATTTTTTTCCATAAAATATAGGAAAATATAGGACAAAAATAGGACGTTTTTGAAAATATAGGGAATATAGGTCGAATCGCAGCCCAGCTTTAATTACAACAACATCAATAATTGTAACAGATTTCGTTGAAAAGTTTTTTTTTAATGCAGTAGTAATATTTCCATTAGAAAATTCGATTCCAGCACTCTTTCATTATTTATTACTTTTTGTTTTTATCTGAATCAAAGGAGCTTACATAAAAATGATTTAGATCCAGGCCACAGCTGTTTATCGTAAGCGGATGGAAATCAGTATAACTATCAGTGGTTTTTAATCATATGGAGATTCCAAGAGAAAATAGTCTTTGACATCATGATAAAAGCAAAACGTACTATGTCATTAATATAGGATTAATGGATATTAATGACATCGTTCGTCTTGGTATAATAGCTTGAAAATTACAGTATTACAAGTATCTATTTTGAATTTATAATTCAACCTCGAAATAGACATGTATTTTTATTAAAATCAAAGTCTACACATCTACCTCCCAATATGTGCTTAAGCTTCTTTTAATATAAAATTACGACGCATTGAATAGAAGAACTTTTTAAAAACAATTAATTACCGATGGATGGAGATAACTGTAACTGGTTGATGCAGAGTGACATCTCTACTATAGATGATTTTGATTTGCTCTTTCTGAGTAATGCATAAAACTTGCGAAAGAAATATATTTCTGCAAACCTTAATCGAATTCATTATTACAAATTAAAAAAATGCTTTCGTCAATTGATAAGTATGTTTTTCTCTTTGAATTTATGAAATAAATCTGTGTTCTATTGATTATAGACAAATACAAGTTAACTACCGAAAGCGGTTTACAGCAGATAAAATTGATGATCATATATGGCTCGGTGATATCGACTCAGCAGAAAATGATGAAGCACTCGATGCTCTTAATATTACACATATATTAACTGTACTTGATTTTGAACCAAAACTTGCAGAAGACGATCGTCGTGTACGTAAACATGTACGTGCTTATGATATTCATACAGTGGATTTAATCGGTGAATTTGAATCATGCTATCAATTTATTGAAGATGCTGTATGTAATAAACAAAATGTTCTTATTCATTGTCATGCAGGTATTATAAGAATAAATTCACAATGCTTATCGTTTTGAAAATTGAATTTATTTTCTAGGCATGTCTCGTAGTGCAACAATTGCTTGTGCTTATCTAATGAAAAAATACAAACTATCGTATGATGAAGCACTTGAAAAGTTACGAGCCAAACGACCATGCGTATATCCAAATCCTGGATTTGCAAAACAACTACGTCTTTATCATTCAATGAAATATTCGTTTACACCGAAGAAATCAGCAGCCAATGGAACTTCAGAATCTGATCATATTCCTATGGAAATTAATTTTGATGAGGTTATTCCACTACCTCAAACTGGTTCATATTCAATTGAATATAAATGTAAACTATGTCGTCATGTTTTATTTACCGATGCTGATCTTGTTGCTCATATCGGTGGTAAGGGTCGATTCGATTATCATTCACGTGGTTCAGCATATAAAGCAAAACAAAATGCCGAATCACAAGACAAAGATTATTGTCGACAAGAACTATTTACTATACAACCAGAATGGTTAACGGACGTATACGATAAAGATATAAATGATGGTGACTTGGTATGTCCGAACAGCAAATGCCAATCGAAATTAGGTCGATATTCACTTGTCGGTGAAAAATGCACATGCGCAAAATGGGTTAATCCAGCATTTCATTTTCATCGAAGTAAAATTGATGAATGTCCGATTGCAAAGAACAGCCAGATCGAAGAACTTCTATTGAAAAGAGCTGCTACTACTTAGAAATTTGAATGTAATTCTATGAATATCTTTGCCAGATTTCCTTGATAAGCTTGAAAATTAAGCAAACTTGTTTTTTTCTTCATCAAAGTGTTATTACGTGATTAATTTTAAGCTTATTTCAAGTATTTCGACATTTAAATATAAAATCCTAAAATGATTTGTTATAAACACACGACTTATCATCATTCAAAACATTACTTTTTATTTTCAATTAGTTAACACGTAAGCTGTTAAAACCAGAATTGGCCGGTATGGTTACAGTTCGTATCATAATGATAAGGCTAAAGTAGCTATGCTCATAATTGGAGGGAAGCAAAAGATTCTTTATAAAAAAAGTTTCTTTCATTTAAAACATAATAAATTATCAGCAGTATCAACCGTTTTAATATTCGAATTAAACCAGAGTAATTGTTAGTCAGAGTTCCATTATTGTTTTAATATTTTAACGTTTGAAACATCCTTTATAATATGATTATAAGGCTTGAATTTAGACCTATTAATTTCGCAGCTTCCACGAAGTAATGCTTTTATATCAAAAGAAAATCTAGTAGGACCAAAGAAACCTATTTTTCTATATGATAGATTCTAAAAATTCTCGAACCAACCGCAAGTACACAATGTCATATCGTTCTTTGACATCAACTCTTAGACTGAATTCAAAAATAAATAATCAAGACAATTATATGTTCATCTTTTCTATTCTATATTATATATAATAAAACTTCATTCAAAAAATTCATTACATAAACGAGAAAAAAATGGAATGTTAAATTGAATTTTTTCTCTTGAACAGCATAGTTCAATAGTTAACGAATCTTATTTAATTGACTACTACATTGTTTGTCATCTGTTTTTTTTATTTCTTGAATACAAACGTACCGTTTTTTTCCACAAAGAAAAGCACAAAAGAAAAAAAATAGTCCTATTTGCATACGCTCATACATAATAACAACAGGTGTTTTTTGTAAATTGAATTCTATAAATCTGACAGAATTTTGTTGGAAAAATCTTCAGATGACACAATATCACCATGATCACTATGATTATTTAATGTGTGAGCAATTTGTTTAAGTTCACCGCGAATAAAATCCATCGGTAAACGTAAACGTTTTTTACGACAATTTCTTAAGCGTTCAATGAGATGTTGCTGTAAAATCATAATACGTTCATAATTGCCACCGGTTACATTAGCTGTCGATGGAAATAAATCATTAACTTCTTTTCTCAATAGACGTCGCCAAATTGTTTGTAAAATTGTTGGTTCTTCATTACCATCTAATTGTAATAGTAATAATTGACATTCATACAATTCATATTTTTGTGCATAATCAACAAATAATTCAGTTGCATCAAATAATGCTGAATCTAATTTCTTTATTGAATATTGAATATGTTCAATATGTTGTTGAAGATCATCATTGATGATTGTTGATGTTATTGTATGAGTTTCTAATGCACGCATATACATTTGTAAATCGGTATAAATTTGTTTTTGTACAAATGCTGTTTGTAAACGTTGTTCAAGCGTTGGAATAAGTTCGGTTAATTGCGAATCACTACTAGACTTTATCTGTTGAGATGTTGAAAGTAATGTAGCATTTGTCGAACGTGCAATTTGAAGTGCTTCGGCTAAATAACATAGACGATCAGCAAATGTTACACGTGGATCTAATAGATCGATTAAATGAAGAAGAACCTAAACGAAAATTCAAATGATTAAAGAAAAGAAAATTATTATGAGGATAAATGTGGCTTTAGTGGTGGTTCCTATGGCGTCTAGTTGAAACTATTAGGTTTCTCATTGGTTAGATCGAGATCGGTAGCGAGAACTACCAATTCAATATTTAATACACTAAATAGAATTTTTTTCCTGCTGAGATTTTTCAAGTGAAGAAAACAGTTTAATATCAGAATGCATGAAATACTCATAGAAGCTTTGCATTGATCTGTAGCCCGGTTTTGTTTAGATGATGACTCTTCAAACAAAAAACATTTTCAATTACCTGGCACAATGTTGTATAATCCTTGACAACTTGAAGTACAGCGATAGCGACATCAAGTGTGATGTAATCATTAAAATTGGTTAATTTCAAACGATATCTTATAAACCGTTCTAAATACGGCGTTACTTGTCTGTAGGATTTAATTTTTTCATTAAACTGTTTATTCATCATCCAATCGAATAATTTCACATGTAAAAATTCATCATCATACGATAGACAATGACGAACAAATTCATTCAATGTTAAACTTCCATCATTGCTTTTCAATACATTATCTCCATCACGTTGATAAAGTGATTCAAGTATATCGATTAATGATTGATAACATTCAGAACGTCGTTGGTAAACATCAACATATTGTTGTTGATCGTCTAACTGTCCATAATAATAATTCAATGCTTGATTACATGGATCACGTTTTGAACCAGCCGTTACACAAAGATCAAGTAATTCATCGTACATACGATATGTATATAATGTCATTGCAAATGATGTTATATTAACACGATCACAAACTTGTTTATATAATTGACAGGCTTGTTTCAAGCGTTGATGTTGATCATTGATTGTTTGAGTTGTTGTTGTCGACAATGACGATGGTTTAAGAAATAGATCAACTTTATATAGAATAAGTTTTTCAATAGGACATAATTTTGGACATTCATCAACAAGACGACCCATTAATTGATCGAATACCGATTCATTTTGTTCATAGGATGTTAATAATGCTGCTATAAGTGTATCATAAAAAAATGTATCTAAATCAAGTAATGTTCGAACTGTAAATGGACCGTTCGTGCCATTGAATAATGTTAAATATGACTCAGGTAAACGTTCAATTAACATATCTGTACGATTTTCATTAATAATTTGCCAAAGAGATAATAATTCAATCAAACGTTCACTCATATGACATATCGTACGATAATAATCGATTTCTTGTAAAAGATCTGTTATTGACGAGAGTGATGTAGCTGATAGAAAATATTGTTGATTTAGATTGGCTGAATTGGCTGCTAGTGGTATGGATGTATTACTAACACTTGGAAATGGAGAATTTGTTGTTGGAGGAAGATTGTGCATAGATGAACTAAACAGAGAAGCACCTGTTTGAACTGGTGGTGTTGGAGATGATAGTGTGAAATCAGCAGCAGGATTAATACCACCGGCTATCGATGTATTTAACGGATTGGCATGTCCTAAAATATGTGTTCAAGTTTGAAAAGAAGTTTTAGAATCAAAAGCATACCGAAAGGTGATTGTGCATAGGTTGAAATATTTGGATAACTATGTGCATGATGAATTGTTTGTTGCTGTGGCGTTTGTTCATTTAAACGTCCAGCTAATGCTGATCGAAGATATTGATTATTATTTGAATTTATGGCTGATAAATGTTGTTGCTGTTGTTGTTGTGGTGGTTGCATTTGAATATTTTGTTGTGCATAAATTTTTTGTGCTAATTGTTCATTATATTCAGGTAAATCATCTTTATTTGACCATAAACAGCACATGTGTGGTGCTAGTTTTTTAAGAAAATGTTCCAATTGTTTTAATAAAGATTTTATTTCATTATAATCATGAATTTTATGAAATATATAATAAATTGTTTTATCTTGTTTTGATAATGATTTTAATTCGACTAATTTTTGTGCCCATATTGGACGAAGTATATCACTTAATACAAATAAAATAGCATTGATACGTAATGGTATAATATAACGTTCAAAAAAGTTTTTTTGTCGCATATAAATCGATGGCAAAATAGGTGTTGAACGACTAAATGGTTGTTGCGATTGTAATTGATAAAATCTTGATTGATCTAATGATATTTGTTGTTGTTGCATAGTTTCTAAATATTGTAAATATGCTGAACTTGAATACCAAAGAAATGTTTGAAATGCTAAATCACGTAAACGATCATCATTGACACGTGTTGTATTTGTATTACTATCTTGTAGAGATGTTAATGTTAATGCTAAACTCATTGAACATGAATAACGTAATGAATAATAACTAAAAAATTGTTTCATTAATAACGAATGAATTTGTTGATCATAGAAAAGTAATAAACGTAGATGTTCGTTCGAGCGTGGAATATCAAATGTTACAATTGAATCATATGTTTGAATCATATAACGAATATTTTGTGCTAGTGGACCAATGCGTGGTGATTGTGTTGGTGTTTGAGTTAAATCCATATGTAATGGAAGTATATTTAAAGTTAATAATGATATTTGTTCTTGTATAAGAAATAGTTCATTAAATAGTTGTGATTGAATTTCTGATGTTGGACGTTGTTGTTGTTGTTGTGGCTGTTGATTCATTGTTGAATCATTAAAATTCGATGATAATAATGTTGACGATGTAAGTAATGTTGAATCGGAATTTGTTAATAGTATCATGCGACCAAATGATTGTGGCCGATTTGAATCACTTGTGAAGAGAAATAAACAATTCATATCAACATAACCTGTACGAAAGATGGGTTGTTGAGCGTTTGTTTGAGGCAAATTGGGTATTGTTGGTGGATAACGTACATGAATTAATTCAAGACGAGATTGTTGAGTTGGTTGAGCTGGATTTGTATTTGCTTGACCTATTAAAAAAATTAAACATTTCCAATAGTTTATGTTTTTAACAGTAAGACCTGACCAGTAAGTTTATTCAGAACTCTTTACTTTTAAAGATAGTATAATGAAACTGTCGCGCCTATCCGCATCGTAGAAACTTCGTCTGGAATTGTTATTTCAGTAGAAAATCTATTTCATAGATTACTCGATTGGTAGTTACTCAAAGAATTATTTAAATAAATATCCGCGTACCGTCTTATTGACTGTAAGTTTCTCTTTAATCTTTAAATATAATTACCTGTTGGCATAATTAATGTATAATATAATCGAATGCCTGTATGTGTCACTAATATTAAATTAAATAAACTTGATTCATATGATTGTACAGTACACATAGTTAAAAAAGGTCGGTAATCATCATAGGAAATCGTTTGTCTTTGTTTAAGTTTACTAATTAAATCATCAAATGTATAATTAAATAAACGATGACCTTTATCTGTTGACACATCATATATATGTAATGAATCATTTGCTAAACGTGCATATAACAGAAGTCTCTTATGATCAACAGTTATTTGTTTAACAGTCATTGATGCTGCATTGGCTTGTGATAATGAACCAAGTTGAAGAAAACTTGGTACTAAATTTGATAGAAATGTTTGTCCAAGTTTAGTTAATGTTGATTTAACATTTTCTTCATAGATAAATTCATAAATATCTCCGCATTGTCCACCGAGAAAAAATCTCTCATTTGAAATTGACAACGTATCAAAATAACCAATCTGATTTAATGTATATTTTAATGTTGGTGTTGTATACCAACGTTGAATATTAGTTGATTGTTGATCATCAATTGTATAGATTAATATATCTTGACATGTCAAAATAACAAGTAAATGGACAAAATTTTCGATTAGATCATTTGTTGTTAATGTTGCTGGAAATTTTGAGCTTGATGTCATAACAGATGGTAACCAGGAACCAAGAAAGGATGTGGAATGTGTTAACTTTTTTGTTACATTTGTTGTTGTTGATTTACGACGACGAACACAATTACAAGCAAGAACAATTGAATCAAATTCTAACTCTATTAAATCAACGATTGTTGGATATTTCCATCTAAATATTAAAAATTCATTTTATTTAAACATCTCTACAGTATTTCGAATTATCAGTTTCAGACATTCGAAACCGGGGAAAGAATTTTCTAAGTAAAGTATTATTCGAAGATTTTGGAAATTCGGTACTTACAAATAAAGTTTTTGATCAATGGATAACCACAGCATATTCATTGAAAGAATATAACCACTACGATAAACTGATGGTGTTGTTTGAGTTGTATTTTGTTGTTGTTCAGTAATTGTGCCCGGAATTGATGTTATTGTTGCTGATGGAATACTGATTCGATTTGTTGGTTCATATGGAAATGAACGTGTATATGAACCATCTGTACCTCCGCTTGTAGTTAGAATCGTTGACATGTTTATTGACGACGAACGTATAGAATATTCAATATCAGTAAAAGATGTTAATTGAAAAAATTCATTCAACCATGTTGAGATTTGTTGATAAAAATCGCGAGTATTATTATCAAGAATAGTCCCCATAGGAGACGACGGTGATGTGGCCATACGATATATTTTAATTCACACAGAGAAGAAGAAAAGACAACAAAATCTAAAAAGAATTAATCGACGCTTTCATTTTGTAAATCTTTTAAATTAGATATCAAATTGAAATTCAAAATTAATCTGCTTCGATTGAACATAAGATCTTATCTGCTCAAGGGAGAAAAATGATTATGATATTCATCTATAACAAAAAATTAGTAGATGAGTGGGTTTTTGCTGATTGATGAAAAATCTTATTTAACTACTTTGTTAAGATTCCGATTGAATTCATATTCTTAATTTCATCAGTTTTCGGAAAAATTCTTAAGTTAACTTTTTTGTTTATATCAAAATCTGAAAGAATGATGGTTATGATTTTTTTTCAATACTCACATCAAATTCCTTGGATATTCGAGTCGAGGATTTATTATATATGTTTTATTTCAATTGAATACGATACAATGTTCAGAAAAGAAAGTTTTATGGTTTTAAGAATGACTCATAGAAGAAAAGTTGGTTTTTTATCGTGGCAAATGAAATATTATCTGCCAGCAAATCAAAACTCGGGCTATTGAACTTCTATTTTGCATCGTATCACCGTTTATGATATTAACATCGACTCGTCTGTTGTGTCGGTCTACTTTGCATATAAATACGTATGTAGTGATTGGCGACTCAGAGACTATGGGATAACACTGAAATAAAAGATGTCGCTAATAATAAGTTAATATCGGGTTGCCGTTTCTTCTCAATGATTGAACATTAAAATTATTTATACAAGAGTCATTATAATTGATCGAATGAAAACTTTCACAAAGACAAACCCAGACAATTGCTTACAAAAGCTACATTTCAATTGATTTGCACGAATTTTTGGGCACAGAAGATATTTCGTGAAACAACAGTCGGAGTATCTTAAATATGATCCTAGTCTTGAAATAGAATCAAAATTCTAATTTTTGTAGGTATAGGGGCATAACAAGATACTTGTTAATACAATTGCTACGAGATCATAGTGTAAAATTCAATGCAGCTGCTATTGTTAATCAAAAGGATATCATTTTATTTTATCCATTTTGCAGTATACTTCGCAATGATCTTTATACTTTATTTTCCAGAAATAGAATCAGAAATAATTCAAGATGAGTTGAGACGTTCTGTGACGCAGCGCACTTTCTAAGTTGACTGTCACGTATGTTATGATTCATTGCTAATATGTGTATAGCACGTCTGAGACGTGAACGGAGACAGACACAAGAAACTTCACAACTATACATCGACATTCTTTTTACATTGCTAATCGATTTGAGATAATATTCATGCTTAGTCTTCTTTCAGAATGACAAAATTCGGCACGTTCATTCCTTAGACTATTAAATGTATAGACAATTTTCAAGGGTCCCAGACAACATGCATTATCAACTGTTCGTGATAACTAAAATAGTCATCTGTTCTGTTCTTAGAAAAAATTCTGTCTATGAATCACACTAAATTAGTATAATGGTAAATAAATCTATTTGCCCATTTAAATCGTAGATAAAAAAGAGACAAGTATTTTCTTTCTTGCTGCGCATACAAAAGAAAACAAGAACAGTATAGATTAATTAATAAACATCATAAATTTATTTTATTTTCTTATAGCAGATCGAATAAAGGTATATAATATCAAAAAAAACAAAAAAACAAAAAAACAAAAAACAACAATATTTATTTAAATATGAGATTAATTTTCTTATATACACAGATCTGAAGAAGAAAAAAAAGAATAAGAATAAAGAGTACAAATCACATTGCACGCTATATGTGAGAAATCATATATTAATAGTAATATAGTTAGCAAAGAGATATATATATATATATACGTATATTGCTATGTAATAATTAATTTGTTCCATTCGTTATCGAAGCCGGTATAATAAGTGTTGATGCCAGGGTTGGTTGAGCCGGCGGTAATATCAGTGTCTGCTGTTCTTTTTTCAAACTTATATGTGGAATGTCTACATCGATTAATCGTACTAACCTTTCAACATATTGTCCATGTGCCTGTAAATTTAAGGAAATCAAATAAAACAATCAAAGCCCTATATTGAAATTCTTACTTCGATATCATTATGTCCAGCACCATCAAGCCATAATGGTTCAATTTGATGTTGTATATGTATTCGACTGTAGAGTGCAAAGCCATGACTGACATCAATAACGTCATCTTCTGTTCCATGTATAATTAAAACAATAGAACGAATACGATGAATTTTATCTATTGAAGGAAATGCATCACAACACCATGTTCGTTTCGTATCAGGAAATGCAACACGCATGCCCGATGTTAAGGGACTATGCAATACACATGCTATACAACATTCGTTGTGACGTGATGCTAAATCTATCGTTGGTACAGTACCTAGAACGAAAAATTTCTAAAGTTTTATCGAAGAATGAAAACGTAAAATTCTTACCAATGCTTTGTCCATAAAGAATAATTTTTGATGGTGAGATATTGTATCGTTGTTTTACAGAATTAAATGTTGCTTCAATATCAGCATACATATTTTTTTCACTGGCTCTTCCTTGTGAAGCACCATAACCAGAATAGTCATAACTAATTATATTACATTGTAAACGTGTACCTAATATAATAAAAAAGCTTGCCATTTGACCTTAAACAGAAAAGAAATAATTCGAGATCATTAAAAAGAAATAATTACCGAGATCAACAGCATTACCATGACTAAATAGAATATAATATTTTGGATCCGATGTACAAGTAATATGAAGACACGCAATGCGATTATGGCGTGCGGTTGTAACAAAATACGGTTCTAATTTAGCTATATCTGATTGTGAGTGTTGCCATTCTGCTTTTTCAGAAAATGTTATTGTATAATGATCAGACTTATTAGCATCGACTAGAGGTGTTTTTGTTGTTGATGGTTTTTGATCAGTAATACCATTGATCAGTGTGAGACGATCAACTACATTTAATGTATATGTTGGTTCGGGCGGAAGAAAAGCTAAAAAGAAATAATAACATGCGAGTTTTGTTTTTTAATATTCGAATAAAAATTATTTACCAAGCTTGGCGGCGATACGGGATGGTAATGGTGGACAACAAAAAAGGCAACACAGATCACGTACTGAAAGTGTATTCATCGTTCAATCATCTGAAAAACCACAAGAGTATTTTCGATTATACCATTCTGTTTGAGTAATTTCTTATGATTGATTTAATTAAGTTGAATGTGTGAGATGTTATGATAAATGTCCTTTCTGTGTTTATACAATCTTCTATATTTATGCTAAGGATAAAAAAACAAATATTATAAATGCTTTCTTTTGTTGAGATCAAATGAAAAAAAAAGATGCAATCAACTATTTTTAGGTTGTCAAGAACGTGAATGACTTTATGTGTTTAACAATCGTAGTCATTGAATTAGATTCTCATTAGATAGAAAGAAACAGTAAAATGTAGAAAATAGAATGCACGACAAAAGAGATTGCTACTTGTGAAATACAATTAATGGAAGTTTCCATCGTAGAAATTTTTTCCTTCAACTGAGTGGCCTTTCTTGCTAACCTACAACGATGGGAAAAAAAGAAGAAGAAGAAGAAGAACAGAAATCAATGAACAAGTAGAACATCTACGCAGGATAAATACATATATTGCTAATGTTGACTTACTCATGAGAAATTATTATGGATACGAGAGATAGGACGAAAAAGGATGCTCCTGCTCGATTCTCCTTCTCAATTCTTATCATGGTCATTACTGAAAGGATAGTGATACATTAGTCGTATATTGGAGCTATCCTATTTTTCTTTTCCCATACGATACATAAACTATCCATCATTGCATAACGATATCGAACCGTCTTATTGTTTAGTCATAGCAAATGCAGTTCTCTCTAAACTTGATGGAAAAATAATTCTGCAGAAAGAAAACAACATTTACATATTGGCATACTCTTAGTATCTTATTTCTTTGCTTTTCCAAATAATCATCAGTCGATTACAGAGAAGGAAACAAAAAAAATATTATACACACAAGCAAATAGATAATCACATACATATATATTAAGGTAAATTCTTTAAAGAAAATAGTCGGGTACAACACGTTTAGTAGCTGACGATCGTTGATCTTGTGGAGCTGCTTCAAATATAGTAAAACTTCGATTGAGATGTTCGTCAAGTTCAAGTATAGCAGCAACATTGCCACAACGATAACAATAGTTTGGCGCTGACCATACCGTTAACACTGTTTCATTGAAATGCCATTTATAGCCTTCCATAACAAGCTGATGTGCACGACATATCAAATCAATGTTGTTCATTTGATTAAATTGTGAAACAACGTCACTACCGAATAGATAACCAGCGCCACGTGGACTAACACCCCAGCCGAGTGCATCTTCCGGATCAGACCTGCAATAAATGATAAATATTAATCTCAACAAACAAAAATTTCTACCATAAAAGATCACACATAGGGCCATCGTGAGGTACTTCCATTTTTCGATCGATCAGTCGGATTTGGTCAAGTGTATTTATCGATGGACTAAGTCCACCGTGAACACAAAAAATTTTCCCATCAATAACAGCTGATAAGCTTAGATAATCAAAAACTTCTGTACAATAACGCCATACCATAATAGAGCCATACTTTCTTAAACATTCGTCATAAAAGCCGTAGACTTGTGTTATTTGACGAGACTCATGGTTACCACGAATTAACGTGATTCGATCTGGATATCTTACTTTCAGTGCAAGTAATAATAAAAATGTTTCAACACTATAAAAACCGCGGTCAACGAAATCGCCCAAGAATAAATAATTTGTCTGTGGAACGTCACCTACAAAGACAGAAATTATAAGATATGTTCAATTTTTCATTAGTTGACAGAAGAAACAATCTACTTCTGCATCGTTTAATCCTATTTACTAAAAGCAAAGCATATCGAGAGAAAAAACAATGTTTGACAGCACGCACTTACACAAAAGTAAGTCTAACACATCAATCTACACTCATTTCTTTAGCTGTCATTGCATACCCTACTCTAATATGAAATTTAATGCGTCTATCGAGACGCATAATGAATTGAAATATCTTCAACAAATGACAACTATCCGATTACACCTAGTAATCAGTTTTAATTATTGATGATGAATACATATGAATGCGTTCCATGTAGTAAATAATATTTTGCTTTCATACGAAGGGAAAATTCATTAAAAAGCATTCGCTATAAGGAATCTTCATTATTGAAATAAAATAAATTTTAATCAAAAAACTATTTTTCTTTCCATTCGAAACAAGAGAAGCAGGGGGCAATGAAAATTATGTTTCGTTTTTTTTTACTCGGTGTAATTCTATGATCACTACTAATAGCATGTTAAAATTGTGACACAAGACCAAGATAATCATGATTAACAATTTGCATGTTAGCAAATACCTGCAATGATGATTTTATAGGTCAAAGAAAATCGCTGAAGCTGCTATTTTCTTTATTTGAAATGGCATTCTATTTTTACCTCCAACACGAAATAATTCCAATAAATCGAACATTTGCCCATGAATATCACCGCAAATCGTAACTGGTGAATCGACACTTTGAACATTACTTTCTTCAACGAGTATTTCGCGTGCTTTTGTGCAAAGCATTTTAACTTCGCTCTCTTTAATTAATTCACATCGTCGCAGTTGTTCTAATTGACGATCGAGATCTGACAGATCGGACATTCTTGTACTGGATGTAGAAGAAAAGCAAAACAATAATAACAAAAAAAGGATTGAAATCGATCTAAAATAAAGAAAGAAAAAAAACTTTTTCATTCTATTGATATTTTTTTTTACTCTTTTCGAAACGACAAAAAAAACATATATGTATATATATATATAAATATGAATACAACATAAATGATAATGACTGGTTGAGCAAGGGAAAGAATAAGAAGAAAAAAAAACGCAAACCAAGAGCAATATATTGCAGTTATTGACAACACTTAACAAGGATGAAAATAGAAGAGCGTAAGAATTCGTTTGTACAAAGAAGTATGAAAAATCATGCAGAGAATTTCAAGTAGACCTTATTTTTAGATCTACTCTTTTTTATTAATTTAGATTTTTTCAATTCTAGAAGAATCCGTTAATTGAACTGGTGTTGTAATTGAATGATCTGTCTTGTCATCTGCATTTATTAGGTGATCACTTGTTGTTATGGCGCTAGTAGACGCCACCGGTTTGTCTGTTAGAACAACTTGAACAACAAAATTACGTTGTAAATGAGCTTCCCATACAGCTGAACGATCTCCTAAAAGTTCAATCGCATCAATAAAAATAATTTCTCTTTTATACAAAAAAAAATGTGGAAACTTCGGATTTCATCCGAGAGTTATGTGTACTGCAAAAAGTGCATGGGCCATATGAGTCATTCTAGAATGTCTGAACACCAAAATTATCATGAGAAACTAGGCAATTTGATTTCTGGATGCAGTTTTTGTGCATTTGAGACGTTTTTCAGGCGATCTTTCATCAGAAAGCTACGGTTTAGTTCAAAACTAATATCAGATTCAGAATCAGCGTTAAAAACTGAGTCGATTTATATATGTTGTGGATAATTCTGAGAAAAAAAAGTTTTTTTGAAAATTCCTGTACTCCCCCTCAGGGATGGTCTGGTCAAAAATGACAATTTTTTCGATAACTCAGCCATTTCTTGACGGATCCTTCTCATCTTCGAACTCGACCGAGATATTCATGAAATTGAACTGTGTGGAAAATTTCATCATGATCTGATTCTCCTTTCGAAAGTTATCGTGCCTACGGCCGGACAGACACACTGCCTGATTCTAGAGTGTACTCCCTTTTTGAGTACACAAAAAAGACAATTGGCTAAATTTAATTCGAGTTTTCTTTCTGAACACACGTCAACATGATTCCTTTCTTGCGAAAATAATCGTGATTTCTATAAAAAAAAAGAACTCAACAATTATATATTTTAGTTTATTTAGAAAGAAAAAGCAACAAACTTATCGGAGAAATGTTGCCTAGCTCTCAAATAGAAATAATATTCAGATATAGACGCACGCACTTTGTGCACGCCTACTTCAATAAACGTCAAATCATTAGAAGAATTGTATCTATTATAATTTTTCTATTAATCAGCGCAGATTCAACAACTATCTAAATGCGAAGATAATATAATTACTTATTTTTATTATTGTCTAAAATGTCATATGAAGATTCTCATAAAATTTTATAATAACTAATTATATATTTAATGCATATATAAATACGCTTTAACTGAAGAAATTGGTAAGTATCTTGCCAATCTTTCTGGAATCTCAATTAACTTAAATTGAGTTCTTTCTCAACAAAGTTATGCTGACATTAAATGGTAACGTCAATGGCAAAAAATACAATTATCTTATAGCCTTGATTTACAAGATAAGTATTCAGTAAATTGGTCACTGATTATAGCAATATGTTAGACACTTAAAGAAACAAATCAAGTCAATCAAATGTATCAACAATAGTATGTTGTTTAAAAAGCAAAACAAGCAGACGATGCATTCTATTTGTAACTTACGTAATAATTTTCCACCAAAAAATAATCGTTGTGCTTGAGAATCAATGTCTCCGTTTTCTAACAAAGCCAAACGTCTTTTAATATTGCGTATTTTTTCATTTTGTTTGCAATATAAACGATGTTCTTTCCCATTGGACAAACGAAATTTAATGGGGATCTCAATATCATGATCAATATTTGCTTGTTGCTGATTCACAATTGATGGGGGTGTTGTTGTATTTGTAGACGATGAATCATTACCAGAATCGGCATTATATTTCTGTTTTCGACGATGTTTCTTTATTTCACGTACTATTGGATTATGACCAACATGATATGTTGTTGATGAGGATAATGATTTTGTTGTACGAGATTGATTATTTGTTGTTATAGTTGTTGTTGATGATGATGATGAACTGTGATTACCACCGTAGTCGCGTTCACGATCGACAGCTGCTGTCATAGCAAGGCCAATTTCACTTGCACCAGATTCATTATCACCACGAGAATCAATCGATGATTGGTCACCATCGACTATATTTGTTGGTGGTGATAATACATATATAGGCAATTGATAACGAGTACCGAGTTCGTCATAACAATCAAGAAGTGTACCATGAGGAAGAGATATATTAGCACAGTTGATAACTAAGAAAAAAAGGTTTAGAAAACAAAAAAGTGTATAGAAGAAAATAATAATCAAATTTTACTTGATTGTGCTAAATCAATATCACTTTGTTCAATAGAATAACATGCACCATGTAATGCATCCCAGATTTCTTTTCGACCATCGAAAGCAGGAGCTAAAATATATGTGTATTAAGAAAATGATTAGTAGAGAAATTCAATTAGTAAACATTTGGCTATTGTCCTCCAAAAATATCCGCTTAATTAGAGATTTTTTTATGGATCTATGAACAGTTAATTATAGAGTAATATTAACATGACAACATGAGTTAGATAATAGATTTTTCTCGTCTTGAATATTATACTGTCTCTTTCTTTTTTTAATATTCACCTGTATCCCAGTATTCTTCACGTTTACGGCGCAATTGATTTTCAGTAATGGGTACATCTGATTTCCATTTTGGCCGGCAAGTTGAACGATTTAATGGTTTATTTCGGCCAACGGCTCCACTTGCTAAAATATAAAACGACATTCAAAATTGACGAGAGATAATTATAATAAACTAATAAATTACTTGTTGTATTATTACGTGATGAGTGCGATCGTCTTCTTCGATGACTGTGATTATTGCGATTATGACTTACACAGCCGCCCATTTTGTTTTATAAATTAAAAAAATGAAAAAACAAGTTGATGTTTGCGTTCGTTGAATATTCCACTTAGATTTGACTTGACTTGTTAATTTATTACATATAAACAAGCATGTACAGAAGTAAAATAATTTACTTTATACTCCCATCTTCAATGATAGAAATATCGAAGACATCTAAGCAAGAGAAATAAAGCAATAGATTATATTACTTTTTGTACGATGTTATATTATAAAAGAGAATGTCACGTTTTTTTTTTATCAACCTGACCTCTTGTTATTTTTACATGATAAAAATAAGAAGAACAAGATTGTCGAGTCTTAAATAAAACGAAATTGCCTTTCTTGTTTAGTCATCTCTACATACAAGTCTACCATATGACAGCTACCATATACAACGACAGAATTGCCTCGACAATAGATGCAAACAAGTTGTCGACAGATGTCAGTGTAGCCCAGGGTAGTATAATCATGCTATATGATACAACTACTCCTTATGAGGGTTATACGTTCGTTTAGAGCTGTAATCAAGACGCAATCTCTTCTATAGTTAATTGTAGAATAAATGTTTATACCAAAAAAGAAACTGACTTCATATACATGAATAGAGCAAAATACAGATTGCATTTTGTTAAACGAAAATATTTAATGAGCAGTTTCCGATGATGTCACTGGTCTATTTTATAGAACATGTGATATGATGTCTACAAAAATCATAGCTACTATTTAGTTAAGACAAAGATTACATTGACATCTTGCTTTGGCAAGTTTGATCGATCAGAATGCAACTCACCTTCTCAGTAAATAGTGTGATGAAGTCATTTGAGCGAGATTTTTTCCTACCAATACATGAGATTTATATAGAGTCATAATAATTTCCAAGATTCGATTTTTTTTAAATTCGAAACATGTAGTCATATATTTGTATTTTCAGTGTGCCGAATTACAAATGCGATTATGCCATCGCTTTGTAACAAGCTTAGTAAATCAAAATTCCATTTAGTTTCGAGTAAATCGAGTGCTATCAATGGACCCACCCAAAAACATCATGCCGATAATAGAAACACAAATCGTTGTCGTATTTTTACTCGTGCTCTGAAAGCCACCTGGCGATTTTCTCAGCTCATAAAAAACACTCACTATCAAGAAAAAATACAAACCAGTTTCTTTAAAACAAATTAAATGTTTCCTAAAAATCGAGCTTTCTTACTTTTCATTCTATTAACTACCAATTATGTTTCTGCCATTGGTCGCGAGGGTTTGAAACTTATTTTTGAAAACACGTTCGATTCGTCTTCAACATTAAATACATCGATTTGGAATTACAATTATCCATGGGGATCAACATACAATCATCAAGCAAATATGATTCGCCGTCAGGTCACAACGAGTGAACTGGGTCAAGTTAAATTAACAGCTATTGCTACTCGAACTTCAAATATTACAAATCTTGATACAGGTGACTATGGTATTGTTAATGTAAATTACACATCCGGCGCAATTTATACAAATAGTTTTCTAACATTAAAACGAGGTTTAACTGTTGTTAGTATGCGTGTACCATCAACGACAAGTACCTGGCCAATGATTATGCTAGTGCCATTAGATGAAACATCACCGATGTTAATCATGGATGTATTTAATGATCGACGAAATATTGGTTATACATTTCGTTATACATCACAAACGGGTTCAAGTGAATCTGTTGGAGGTGTAGCACGTGCATCAGTAGATAGTAGTTTAGATTTTCATTCTTATGCTATCGATTGGGGTTATGATAAAATATCGTTTTTAGTTGATAATGTTCTACTACGTTCATTTACGAAACCAACTGAAATAACACAAATTTCTGATATGAGTCTTGTTATTGCTCTTGGTGTAGGTGGTCGGTCACAATTTACACCAACGAATTCAAGTGTATATCCAACTGCTTTACTTGTGAATAGTGTTCAAATGTGGACACCAAAATTTGATGGTCGATTTAAAATTGTGAACCTCAATTCTAGACTTGTTTTAGAAGTTGAAAATGGCGTTTTCACTGATTTTGCTCGTGTTACACAAAATATTGATAAAGGCACACTTTGGCAACAATGGGATATTCATTATGTCGGTTATAATACATATAGAATTTCCAATGTAAATAGCCGCAAAGTGCTTGATGATTACGATTGGCAGACTAATGATGGGGCTAAAATTGTTCAATATAAATTTGAATCAAAAGATAATCAAATATGGAAAATAATTGAAGATGAAGATACTGATACTGATAATACAGTTTCATTAATTAATGTTTGGGCCCAAAAAGCAGCATCATTTGTTGGTGCATCAAATCAAACAGGCTCACAACTTGTTCTCAATGAAATCAATGATCAACCAGATCAGAAATGGTTATTGGTTCGATTATAATAAAATTTCTATTTTGTTTTTTTTATCACACTTTAAAAAATAAAAGGAAATTTCTTCTGTCTTATTGAAAAAAGATGTCGCAATCTTCTTAATTTATAAAACGAAAATTTCAATCGAGTCTTTCAGACAACGCACATAATCAAGTTGCGCCTTTTCTTCTTCTCTCTCTCTCGCCCCTACACTAAGCACATTGTGCCTTCTTATACTGAGAACAGATTTGTTGCACAAATGATTCAAAATCATCTTTGTAAAAACAGTATGTATTTGTGATCTTAAAATTTTACATGCATATTTCACTTTCAATAGATACCAGACATACATCACCATTTTGGTCCGATGACGAATATGTGGATGAATCTGGTGAACAATATTCATATTGTGCTTTTGATGGAATGAAAACTCGAACAGTTTGGGTTATTAACTATGTAAATAATGAAGATTGTATGTATTCTAAAATTTTATTCAAATGCATTTTTAACAGTTTCGACTATTTTGTTTTTGACAATAGTTTCAATCAATGTACCAATCGATGATTCTCTTCATCAATTTGTTGGTGCCTTTTCGAATACAATCAAAATGGAAACATTATTTGCAAACAAACAAGATAATAAATTAGCAACGGAAAAAATGCTTTCGCCTGATTTATCAAAATTAAATCTAGATGATTTATTATTACTTTTATATCGATTACAACAAGAAACCATGAAAAATTCTGCTAGAACTTCATCTTCTACAATGAGTACTACGTCAACATCATCATCTTCAGGTTTTATAGGTTTGTATTCATCTGTTGAGGTATATAAACTATCAACGGAATCAATTAGAATTTCTTCGTAGTTCCGACTATTTTCCTATCGGAAGCATCATCTTGCTGTTAAGTCTCAATCGGAAGCCTATCAATTTTCCGTTGTCGGAATCTTTGACATAAATGAATCATTTCATACGCTTCTAATTTATATATATTTAAGAAAGTAAAGCTTCATCGCAAATGTCATCTCATCATCCACTCAATTCAAGAAATTCTCATTCATCTTTTGCAATGCACAATGAAATGCCATCGTATTTACAGGTCAATAATCGTCGGCAACAACAACCATTGTTTACTGTATCGAATCTAGCTGATGTACCAAAACAGTTGACAACAACACTAGCTCAACCTCTATCATCATTTCATTCTCAAACACAAAAACATATTCATTCACCGAATGATGTTGTTGATAAACTTCTACAAACATTCAATCTTCATCATAATCAAAAAGTATTCATAGATATTCATCACTAACTTATTTTCTTTTCTTTTTTCTACAGTTATTTGAAAATAAATTACAACGATATTCACCACGTTATACTTACCAGCAATCTCAACAGCACAAAGCCAAACTTCTTTCAAATCTTCTTTCATTAAAATCAATCGAAAAATTTCCCCGTCATCATCATCATTCCAATTCATATCATTAGAAAAAAGAATCTTCTTTTTTTTTTCAATCCAAGATTTATTAAATAAATATATATATCGTTTAAATTCAATGTTTTTTCTTGCTCTCTCTTTTGTTTATCCTCCTCTTATTAATAATTCTTTAGTCACAAAACGCATACTGACAATATAATAAAATAATGATAAAAATGCTATAATAAAAACTATAGGGAAAATAAAGAGGGTGAAATGCCCTACAACAAAAATATAATAAAAAAAACGAGATTTTTCTACATATTACGACTCGTACTCAACGAAGTCGAGGAAGAATCATACAAAAACAAGAAAAATCGAGATGGAGAGATTATCAAATAATCTCTCCAGAAGTACTTGAAGTAATACAAAACAAAAATACAAAACAAAAGAGATTTATCGAAAACCAACTAGTAGTCGTAATATAAATATCTTTGATCCTCTTGAATAAAATATTAAAATATATATATACACTCGTTTCTCATTGAGCAAAGCTAAAATAGAAACATAAATAAAAATTTCGGTTCGAATATTTTCTTACCGATTATTGTTATTATACTGTAGAGAATAACTTGATCGAATATGCACTAGAAACAGGTCAAAAAAAAAACTAGATTAGACAAAAAGAAACATTCAATTAGAAAAATTTTGTTACTTCGAAATTCATCTGTTAATGATATTGTTTTTGTTTGTCGATGACCACGTGTTAAAGCAACAATACGTATTGCGTTAAATAAACGGTCGATGGTTGGATAACCATATTCGGCTGGATTTGGGCAATGTGCATTACCATGTCGTAATTGATAATCAATCAGAAAATCTTCATAATTCATTTTATCTAAACCACATGCACGCATTCCTTTAACTACTTCGTATGCAAACCGCATCGGCGGTGTAAGACGAACATTTTGACCGATCAACTAAATTAAGCACCGAACAAAATTATACGCCATCATCTTTATTCAATTTTTAACGGATCTGAAATGTTCAGGGATTCGATCTGTATTCAACTGCTTGCCTTTTTATTTCTATCGTTGTCGCTGAAATTCAATTTTTGTATGTATTCTTGACTGTGAATTCGAACAGGAATTTCCACTTGTGTCGCATGTTATTTTCTCAAAGCCATAATTTTATCAATTCATAGAAAGACTTTGAGATATCATTACATCATGATTCATCCTCATTGAAAATTTCTATTCACTATCAAATTTTACTCACTAGAAAAAAACTAAACTTCTATCAATTTCTGTATGAACGCATATTCTGCTCAAATGCGAATCCTTATCACAAATGCTTTGAGTGCTTGTTAAAAAAAGAAATTTTCCGTACCTCCACATATTGTTTAAGTCGATTTTGACAATCTTCAATTTTTAATTCACGTCTATATCTATTAGCCATTTCTTGTTTAAGTAACCAAATTGTTGTTTCACCTTGTGCTTCCATAAGAATATGTACGACATTTCGAGCAAATACTATTTCCGAATGATGTTCTTCCATTACACGAATAACGGCAGTATTCTTATTTGTTTGAACACACTAATAGCAAATAAAATTAAAAAAACACCAGGATATTTAAAAAAGGAGAACTCATGTAAAATAATAACTAACAGCTAATTTATCTTGCATTGATTCAAGCATTGTTTCAATAGAATCAAAACCCATCTCTTCATAATTAAGTTCAAAACGATACATTTCAGCATAGAGTTTCATTAAATGATCAAACGGAATTGAACCATCGCATTGTCGTATGAGTTGAGTTATATTCAATTGAACAGCTTGACGAATAGCTTCATCTGTTAATTGTATTATTCGTTCGCCATTTTTATCTTCGATTATTTGAACAATATTTGGCAGTTCTTCAAATAAATCAATTAAACGTAAACATCCATATAATTGTACGCGACATTGATAACCAAAATGATGATGATACATTGGAATGAAACGTTGAAATGGTATATTAAAATCTTGTTGATGACGAAACATATTGATAATATCTTCAGCAAAAAGTTGTGTAGCAAATTTTTCCACATCAGTTTGTTCTATACAAAGTTTCAATGATTAGGCGTAAGTGGCAAGAAAACAGAAAAATACCTTTTCGATATAGTTTTATTATTCCATTTTCTTGATCGACTACAACTTCTTTGTTGTCTTTAAGTTCCCCAATGAGATCATCGAGAAAACAAACACCAAAATCGATCATATCAAATGGTTTTTTGCTGAAATTGGCTAAAAATTAAGCAAAATAAATATCTTGAGGATATGAACTGAGAAATAAACATTTATGTATATACATCATTTCAAAAGCATTAGATTATTTAGTGGCAAGCCTATTTTTTGCCATATTAAATTTTACTTACTGAACTCTCTTGGAATTTCACTGATAGCCATTGATCGTTGTGGTTTATTTTTTAAAATTCTTACAAGATCATTAAAAAATCGCTTAACTTGACATCGATGAGTAAGTGTTAATATACGTTTATTACCATCACCGAGTACCTATGAATAAAAATATATTTCTCTTTTTTTATTTTTTGGGGAACTTTGAAATCATTTCTACTTGAACAGCATTTGGAATAGCAAGTAATAAGTCAAGAATTTTATCAAAACCATAATCAGCTGCTCGACAATGTCGACTATATTTCGAATGATAAGCTGTTACAAATTTTGATAATGGTAAACGGCAATGTACTGTTTCTTGTTTAAGTAAATCAATGACTTCACGAGCAAATGTTTGTAAGGAACATGTTGTTGTTGTTGATGTTGATGATGATGATGACGCAGATGATGATGTTGAACGTTTATCTGATACCACTAAAAGAAAACGTTTTTCAAAAAATAAAATAAAAATCTCTTCATCTTTTTAATTATTTTCTTACTATGATTGAGTGGTACAGAAAACGAAGGTGTTATTGTTGTTTGTATACGTTTAATAACACCTTTGTCAGTAACAATTTCAACATTTTTTACACATGTTATAAAATGCTCAAGTGGTACTCCGTATTCGTCATCAATTAAAGGTGGAAAATAATTTGAATAACATTGAAGAAAACTAGTAAAACAAAAAATTTCAATGAGGCAAACTAAATAATGAAATATTAACCTTCCCAATGGCATAGAGCCAGAATGTTGAGTAAGTAAATATTGAACATGTTCAGAAAATATATGTAATGGTAAACGAATAAATGGTAAATCGAATGTTGAACTAACAACAAAATTTATTGGACAATGAATTGTACAATATGGACGTTCAAGTCGAACCTATGAAGAAAACAATAGATTAGAAATAGAAAATCAAAAAGAAGAAGCTTTACAGAAAGAACGTCAGATCCCATTGTTGCTCGAAATGATGGTGAAAGTCGTGCAAAACCCATATGACCATTATATTGAATTTCAATTATATCTCGAGCTGTATTCAATTCTGATATATGTAATGGTTTACGAAATCTAAATTTAACAAATATTAATAATAATCAAGGACAATTCGAATTCTGAGCTTATTTTTCAAGTTGAAAAATAGATTGTTTATTTGATCATTAAAAAGTAGCCTCTATTTCAATGTGGAGGTACCCCCTATGATATTCTTAACTCAACAACGATCTCTGTTAACTTACCGACTTTGATACTCTTGAACAAGTGTCAACATAGGACACATGTAACCAGGATGTTCTTTGAGAAGGGCAGCCACTTCAAGAGCAGTTCTTTTAATAGATAAAATTGAGATAATCAAGCATAAGAAAAACAGAAAGAGACGCCTATAAAATTACTGTGAAGCACCAGGTACTAATTGTTCTGGCTCATGAATATTTGTTGATGATTTTGTTCGTTTGTGTGATGGTAATGAAGACTCATATGGTGATGGTGACATAGCTCGAGAATTTTTTTCTTGTGATCGTGCTGGTAAATTTGATCGTGACGGTACCGATGTTTTGATGACTAAACAAATAAAATTCAAAATAAAAACTCCATACATTCGAATATACTCACACGACGGTGTTGGTGGTGATAGAAGATTATTTAAATTTCTATGATCAATAATTGAATCAATACTAATCTCTTGTTGTTGAGGATCATCGCCAAACGATAATGGTGTTTCCGGTAATGTTGGTAAATATGAAGATTTCGGTTGCCATATTGAGTCGAATGTTGCATTATTATCGACTGTTGGTGAATCTAATTCGGCTGTTGGTGCGACAAATGGTAACCAACTAACTTGACGTTCAAATCTTGACATAGCTGTTTTAAAATCAAAATTTGGCTCAAGAAAATCAAAAAATCGTAATTGATCAACGTGCGAACAAAGGCTATCTTGTCGCCTGAAAAACAATAAAATAATTTTAATTAAAATTTTCAAAAAGCAAAACAACGAGTTACTTACACAATGCTCGGCATTTTCAATCAAATAATTTTTTTAAAATTAAAAGTAAAGCAAAACAAAATTTGATCGTTATATCGTATTACTATAAAATAGAGGATGCGTACGTATAATAAAGAGGAGGAAGGATTGTAATAAAAGATCGTTTTTTTTTTTGTAAATGTGACATGATATTCGCGATATATATATACATAGAATATTCTCTTTTTCTCTCTCTCTCTCTTCTCTCTCTCATCATTTCTCTGATCACTATGTGAGACAGTAGAAGACCTCGATTTTGTTTTCTCCTTTGAATACTAGCCAATAGCGGTACGCATTAAGGACCTCGACAAGAATATGATATATATATATATTTGAACTTTCCACGAGTAACCAGTACGCATGGTTCAACGGTACACTACTGTGTGCGACTATATAATCTATTTCGCTAATGGACAATCAACTGCGAGATTCAGCTTTATAGCAGAATATAAATGGTGGACTAAAACTTTGATAACAATGCTCTGCTTTCAAATATACTGCAGGATGTATATCGTTGGATATGTTAGAATTTCCTATCGTTGTTTGGATGATTCGTTGTCTTTTCATTGCACAGTTATTAGAATACAAATCCATAAATATTTGTCTATATAGACGAAATATAAATCTAAGTAGATCAGAAAACTGACTGATTATATCTGCTAATTGTTCGTTCGTGATTAAAATGAATAAGACGAAAAAATTCATAGAGATCTGCTTGACTGAACATTGAATGATGATCGATCATATTTAGCATCGCTTCATCGTTAAAATATATATGTGAAATGAAACAAAGAAGTTGTAACTGATACAATAGATCACTATAGCTGATCTCTCAAGATAGTAGAAGAAAAATAAGACTCTATTGGAATAAGGTAAAAGTCGTTATGAATTATAATCGTTTCAGTATGTTTGCAATTTCAATTATGATGTATTGCAGTCCAATATAATATAAATAGCAAATATTCATGATTGTATCGGTGGGTTTATTAAGTAGCATGATAAGTGCTCTTGACAAATTAAAATAATCCGCTAAGTATAAATCCTTTTCAACTTCATTCGTTATATATATATATATATATATAGAGAGAGAGAGAGAGCGAGAGAATGTGATCGATATTGAAGTCTTATGAAGAACAATCTTTCGTATCTTGATTCTTTGTAAAATCTGTTTAATTCAACAACATAATTTTGAAATCATTAACCACGAAAGAAAATATTTAGTAAACTATTTTCGCTGTACCAAAGTTTTTTCGACCTCCAATTAATCGATAATTTATCAATTGAATTGTTCTACAATCAGTGTTATCTATAGGAGGAGATTACGCACTAGGAGCATAATGAAAGACTATACTTGAAGCTATAACCGAGTCTTACTCATGAGAGAATCAAGTCAAATTATTTCGACTTGAAATGGTTTCGAGCTTTTACCCCTACTTTCAGCTGCCAGTAATTTTTCCTTTGTGTGCATACCAGATGAAGAAAACATGTTTGATTTAATATGTTAGTGAATACTGTGACAACGTCTAAAAACTCAATAAAACATCTAAATTCCCGATGGAAAGTCTAAGAGCACTAATCCTAGTACAAGACTTCACATTTTAATGAAGAGTTTTCCTTTAAATAAACGCTGAATTCGAATATGAAGTAATTCCAGTTAAAAAAATCGATATCATGTCTTTCTATGTCTAATCAATAACGATCATTAAGCAGGTCTCATTGATTTTAAATGGCATATGTCATTGTGTACTGTGCATACTTTTAAAAGCAGGCAGTTATTTTCTTTTTCTCTTGATCATTTTTCATAATCATAATATTAACAGCTGAATAATAGATAGATCAAACAGTCAATAGAAAATATCGTAGCCTACTATTGATGATGTTTTGCATTAGTTCATGAATTATTAAAAGTATAGGTAACTTAATTAAGTTTATTTGAAAATTTATGAATACATAAAAAGAGTTTACATTTTATTGACACAACATAATATGTTCATGAATGATAAACATATGCGTGTTTACCCTCAATGAATCATATTATTGCATCATACAAATTCCATGCAAGCAATAAGTACCTCAAATATTTAAAAAAAAGAAACATAAAAAAGGAAATCTTTTATCCGCAAGCCTCAAATTCTTATTTGTTTCAGTCAAGCAAATCATTCTAAAAAAACATGTGTATGTCTATACGTTCCGTTGTGCGCACAATCAAATAGTTATCTTTGAATACTGCCATTCGTTGAACAGGATGCTTATAATTTACTTGTATTCTCTTCCAGTTCGAATCAATCGCTATAATATTGGAATTTATTGAAGAAAATACAAGCCATTTGATATCCGATTCAGTTGTTTTTACCGATATCAATCTATAATCATGCACAAGACTCGATCCTGGGAGTAAAATTGCTCTGGTACATATAAATGTATCTATATTGCGAATCTCAATTCTCCATTGTTCGGTTAAAATGTTATAAATTGTAATCGCAAGACTTTCACAATCATTGTTGGTAATTGTGCATATATCTCCAATAAATTCATTGGACGTTAATTTTAATGGTTGTCTCTCAATAAGTATCCAAATGCCATCATCAACATTTTGTTGCCATCTATCAATATATTTTGCACCCCATTCATTATATGCAATTAATAGGGTAGATTGATTTAATAATGTAAACGTTTTAAAAGTTTTATTTTCCATTGGTATCAATTCTCGTAATACGTTAATATCCCCCGTATGCGGATCAATGGTATAAACATTTTCTGATGTTAGGATAAGAAAGCGTTGTTGATGATCATACCATAGTGCATCTAGCACAGGTGTTCTTAACAATGAGCGCGTAGTTAACTTATGAAGGTTTTCATCGTAGAGTACGAATTGATTTCTTCTTTTTGTGAATTCATTCGCAAGAATAAAGTTGGGCGATGCAGCCAAAATTGGTTCGAATGATACCAGTGGAATTTTGATCGGAGCGATTGAACTAGAATCATTATGATTGACAACCGTTCTCTGGACGGAGTTGATAGTGGACATAAGTTTTGGTTGCGTTGCAAAATCAGCAAGCATCATTTTGTGGTAGAAACAATATTATTACAAAAAATATCTATAATATGTATGAATGTGAGTAATAGTTATTATGATTACGAGAAAATGGCAAATATATATGCGCGTTTGCAGAAGTACGCTCGCAGGTAATCAAGACACGTAGTAGACAAAAAAATAAACAGTTCTATTATTCTAGAAAAAAAAGAACAAACAGAAATTGCGAAATCTTCTACTGATGAGAACAACAAAAAATGTGACTTGGTGTCTATGACGTTGTTCTGTTTTTTAGTGAGTGAGTATCTCAGAAAATGAAGACAGATTTTTACGATCTACTTATCGCTGTTATTTTTCGCTCCTTTTAACTCAACTCCATGCTTCATTTTGGTTGACTGACTATTATAGATGAGCGTTTTTTTCTTTTGCATTTTTATAAAGAACAGAACAGAAAAGAAATTGTGTTGTGAGTCATGGTATCACGTGAGGTTAGGTGATATTTGTATGAGCCACTTTTGATTGTGAAAATGTATAAACACACGAATAACAAGGTTTTTGGAATTTTCTAAGTGACTGGTGGATAACTAGTTAAATCGCCAAAAAGAATGATTGTCTACTACGAAAGCAAAACTTGGATAAAACTTCTTCGACAGAGATATTGATGGTACAAGTTAAATTATAATGTTTTAATGTTGAAATCTTTTATTACGCAGTTTATTTTTGTGATGAGCAACAATAAGCACACTGAGTGCCAACGGTTTCTTGCTACTAAACAGAATTATGAGAAGTAATGTGCTAGCAAAAGAATTTTCTTTGATTGAGTTATTTCCATAAAATGGATTGAGGTATTAAGAGTAATATTGTCATAGTATGCATCAATACTCGGCTGATGCTTTTTTTTCTCATAAAAAGAGATACGTGAATTTCATCGACTAGACTATAGGAAATGAAATATTGACTTTTGAAATCAAGATTTAGTTTTGAAGGAAAGATGAAGTACGTCCAATTGTTCAAGGTGTTTTTATTTATTTATCAATCATTATTTGTTGAAAATATTCTATAAAATGATGACTGAAATCAACGAATTTCTGTCCATCCAGTTCAAAGTCATACAAATTATATATCAATTCTTAAAGACAATGGGTTTATCTCGATAATCTGTTATACCCTTAATTAAATACGAGTTTAGCAATAACAGCGTCGACATGGAACATACGGCTATTTCATACGATAGTACAGATGATAAAGAATGGATGCCAGAGAAGAATCAGTACAACATATATAAAGACTATTGAATAGAAGTTGTTGTATATCAGAACGTCTAGAAACTCATCAAGAAGAAATCACAAGATGCAAACAAAAACTATTCTTGCTTTATTTTGTACAATCGTTATACTTTTAATCGGACACAATGATGGTGCGCCAACAGTTGAAAAAAAGATAGTAGCTGATAAAGAAACACCTGCTGCTACACACAAGTAAAATTTAATCTATAAATTATACATATCTTCATATGCATTTTTAAGGAAACCAAAAACTGTTGGTTCGCGTACAGAATGGAAAACACATATCGATGCAAAAACTACAAAATTATTCAATGATGTAAGCTAATTTGAAATAATTCCTTAAAATACACTTTTCTGGTTTTAGCATAAAGCAATAGTATCAAAGAAACTTAATTCTGTGCATAAAGTACCAACATCGTTTAATCCCAAACCAGCAAAATATTCAACGCAAGTTGTTCATGGAATTCTCTATCATTTTCTAGTTCAAATACCAAATAATAAATATGCACATGTTACAATTGTTAGCCGCAAATGGAAAAAACCAAATGTACCAACTGATGAAAATGTTACTGTACGAGAACAACTTTATGGTTTAAATGACAAGAATATTTGATTCAATTATTCAAAAGATAACAATAGTCTTATTTTAGGGTAGCTAATTAATTAGATAGTAGAATCAAAACTTTTTACTTGTATTTTTATTTTCTTTAAACATTTTTTCTTATCAAATGAAATTACAAAAAAGTATTTCATTTTAATAGATTCTAATATGTTGTATTCACGCTGACAAGAAACAATAAACCATTTACAAAAGATTTAATGTCAAAAATGAATTTCTGCATACTTACTTAAATTGACTTCCTAAATATCGCTCTTGAGAAAAATGTCCTTCACATATGTTTCTTCGTATATGAAAAAGCTTTTCATCGTCAGATGTCGTTTTTTTATACATAAAATAATGTAGCTAGAATGTCGATGACGCTTTAAAGCAAACATAGTTGAGTCAATATACGGGCTTTTCTCATAGACTGTTTTTTTTATGAAGCGAATCAAATTAGAACAAAAAAAAATTAAGAAAGACTACTGTGACGGATTTCATCCATTCACGACTCCATCAAGAGTGCATGTACTCATTAATCACTCTTATCATTTAATCATTAGTTTATATTTGCTTCTCTCTTCTCTTCTTCTTCACTGTTTATATTATTCGTATCAGCATTGCTACTCGAAAAAGCATTCATTCTGAATAAAAGGAGGAACGAACAAGTCGTTCCGTCACAACTACAGTTATGCGTGTCTATGTTAGATTTTACGAATATATGAGAAACCTTGTCACAGCAGTGCAAATAAATAAAAGAAGAAATCTTTTATTTTTGCAGTATACTACTAATGACCATTCTCAAGGGCTATTTTCATCAAGGTCATTAACTGTGATGGATATGTATTTCAAGGGCATTCTAAAAGAAAAATGAGTTTATCATGAGGCGATATTTTCTTTATAACTCGATACCATAGTTTATACTATATTCTTAAATTGTTCTATGATAGTATCTCATTGGTAAATATGTGATTGCTAAGGTAAATTAAACTGAAATGTACTAGTAATTATTTTTCTTTAAATTATTGAAGGTAAAAATGAATCTTACCGATGTTTCTATACACAAGTGAAGGCTTATAGAAACATACGGATACGAGTCGGTTGAAAGCCATCTTAATATAATATCTTCTGGACTATGTTTTAAGGTTGAATCCTTGCTGAATTTACGCAACAGTGCAACTGATCTTCCTCAGATACAGCTGAAGAGCAAATGAATCATTCAAGACTTTTAATAGAATTCTGAGAAAAAATTTACAAAATCTCTTAACGTATCACAAAAATGTAAAATCTATAAATTTCGATTCGACTGGATTTTAATTTGATTGTAATTTCTGAAAAGAATTTCTATACAAATAAAATTTCGATGTCTACTTGCGCAACCCCATGTAAAAACATTTACGCGAAAAATCAACATATTCTTGATTATAATCGATTTTTTTAAAAAGTTGATTAGGAATCAAAGATTTTTCACCAATTATAATCGATTTTTTTTACTTTAATCGCATAAAATCGATTTTCTATGATTTTTATTAACCAATTAGAATCGATTTTCAGTAATAATTGATTTTCATCAGCATTTTATTTTTTTTTCTCCATTCAAATCAACAAAAATTGATTCGTTTCTCGAATCGATTATAATCATTCAGATTTAGTTAGTTTAAAATAAACTCCTACTACTAATAATATATTAGAATCAATTCTACTTTTGAATGCATTATATCGAACTGAGTTTTATGCAGGTAAAAATAGCTAAATTGAAAGCCCAATTAGGAGTTATTCAATTTTTTCAACAGAATAGTTTACGAAAATCAAGCAAAACTGATCCTAGGCTGAAAAAACATGTTTTGAAAACTTCCACGATCAGAAGTCACTTCTTGATTGATTTTTCGAAATTACTAAGACGGCGTTTGAAAAAAAATCATTACAGATGATTTTTATGATAATGTTGCGTGATAAAAGTTAAAGTCAAAGCTATCCTAGTAATTTAGAGATTGTTCATTTCAACAGTGTAAAACAAATCACTGTTTAAATCTTAAAATATGATACCTGGAAAACTTAGAAAGATAGATTATTACTTCAGTAGTTGGTAATGAACGACATGCGTAGGCAATCCTACATCAGTAACTATCATCTTTGGTATTAAAAAAATGATGGCACAACCTATTTAGACTCGATATATGTAAGAACAAGACAAAACCTCAGATACTGAGCTCAATTTATTTATGCACATGAAAACGCGATTTCAAAAACGATGACCTGGTTTGAATTTAGAACAACGATTCAATTATCTCGAAAATCGCATCGAAAATCTGATGTAATACACGATAGCCGTAAACATCAAACCCCTTTCAAAGAAAAAACTGTAACATTCTTTGCAGCACTTCCGATAAAAATAATTGATTGCACAAAGCCTCCACATTCCTGATTTATAGTTAATACGAGTTTCCTTTTAATAGAAAGCTGAGTTGTTTTTTTCGTTATTTTTTCCTTTCACTTCAAAACGAATATTAAGGATAAATTTTGTTTTCAAACCAAATCATTTTTTTTTGCTTTGCTCCATTGTTTCAAATAGAATATATTCAGACTTGTTTTTCGCTTTGATAGCGATTGCTTTCATTGATTTTTTCCTTTTTCTCGAAGAGGAGTATCCCCAGTTTGTTTAGCAGAAAATAAGAAAGTAGAAGTATATTTTGTTGCGAAAGTAAAAATTCTGAATAATGTAATTTAGAGAATACTGATGAATTCTTGAGAAAGTACTTTCAAGAAAGTAAACATAAGTCTAATCTTGCTAATTGTAAATCAGCGTTACTGGAAGTAATTGATGAGATGTTATTATGTGCCTGATGTCGATCTCAAACCATCCCAGCTACTTTGAATCCGCTGTTAGTTGATTTGTGATTGATTAAAAACAGATAAAAATCAACTGAAATTTTTTGTAAGCGGTAGTATTTATTGGGAAACAACTGTTGCGGCGATTATAACCGCTTTTAGCTAATTAAAATAGATTCTGAATGAATTAAAAATCGATTATAGTCATATACCTTTTAATCGATTATTAATTAAATAGAAATGGATTACAATCAGTCTTAATCGATAATAATCGATTGGTACAACGAAATAACTGCTTTCTCCGATTATAATCGATTTTAATCTGATTTTACCCCTATCTTTTACATGGGACGCAGCTTATCTTCCGTAAAGAAAAATCATTACGCAGATTTCTCTTGGTCTTTTAAATATAATCAAATAATGCAGAATTGGATCATTATAAAATATTTTTACCATTACACAGTATCACAGCTAGAAAACCTCACGGAACCAATCTATTTTTAGAGCTATCAATTATGTAGATATAGCATTGCTTTTAAATCAATTATTTGGCGATCCCGTAAAACGGCTGCGCATGTTTATTCTCAGATGATAGATTAGATCGTTATTCTACTAATACCCGATGTACAGATGGACTACATTTATAACAGAGTAAACAAATCCATAAAAATATAACGAACACTGTGACATTCTAAAAGTGACAAGGAACAAACAATTGAGTTAATGTGACCAAAACAGTATCTTGTCGGTTTTTTGTGAGTACACTCTAGATTCGGTCAGTGTGTCCGTCCGTTAACACGATAACTCTTGAAAGCCTCATCCAATTGGCATGAAATTGTGTACACAGAATGATCTCATCAATATCTCAGTCGAGTTCAAAGATGAAAAGAATCCGTCAAGAAATGGCTGAATTATCGAAAAAATTGTCATTATTGACCAGACGATCCCTGAGGGTGAGGGAGGAGGGGGTACAGGGATTTTTCAAAAACAAAAAAGTTTTTTTCTCCGAATTATTCACAACATATATAAATCGACTCAGTTTTTGCAATACACATAACAATCGGATGCGAATCCGACGTTTCCTCATTTATTTGTATATAAGAAGTTCAATGCATGTCCATTATGATCAAAACCGATTGTTTCAAATAGTACAACAATCATTATGTCATAGAAATATATTCAAACACCAGTCATTTAGGAATCTTCTACTATAATAAATATTATATCAAACTATTTATGACAATATCAGTTGAAAACTATCTTGTATAATTATATACTACTTTTGTGGATACTTTATTTCTCAGTCATTCTTTGTTAAAGTTTGAATCATCTGACATTAATTTCAATCGAATGAAATCAGTTTTAAAGATATTCTTTTTTTGATATTTATTGTATGCATATAACTGCTATTCTACATGAAATAATTCTACTAATCATTTTAAGATGATGGACAGAAAAATTTTCGCATTTGTTCGCATGAAGCATTTACGCAACCTGGGCAACGCAGAGGCAATTGATTTGTATGACGGTTTTTACTTTGCAAATGTTTATGAACAATATCAGCCATTGCCTAAAGATATTTAGAATGAAATACAAAAAGCAAGCATGATTAAAAATACTTTGATAAATATGGGACTATCATTTAGAGATGCGCAACGACGAATCATTTCAATTCCAACCTAAACATTATTAATCAATGACAATTAATGGATGAGATTTATTTTGACTTACGCTTTTAGCAAGATGTCCAGCGTATTCTATATCGAGTTCATGTAAAGTTTCAATATGATCACCTAGATGAAAATAGATAATAAAATGCTAAGGATATAAAATGAAGTATTTACTTGTAAATGCAATAGGAACTAAAAGAATATGTCGTCGATTATTTTTAGCCAGTCCTTTAATAGCATCATCTGTTGCGCAGCCAAGCCAAGCACTTGGTCCAACCTATATTTATTGAAGTATAAACTATATGATCATTATCAAACAATGAAACACTCGATATACTTTTGATTGCCAAACAAGACGGTATGGATTTGAAAAATTAAGAGATTGCATAACGGCTTGTACAGTTGCAGCTACTTCTGCTGGGTAAGGATCTCCACGATTGACTACCTAAAAACAGTTAATTGAAGAGTTTTATTGAAATATGTTTTTCATCATTTTGAAATATTATATCTGATTTCATGTATACGCTTATTTGTTTTGTGAAATGCAAGAATAAAACTTATGCTTATTCGATTCTTACCCCATTAGCATATTCTCTATGACACCCTCATATATATATACATAAGAAGACCTAGCTAGATTTAAGAACGAGTAATAGCCAATTCTTTGAATTCATACTAGTCAAAAACAAATTCGATCGAAACCAAGAGATATCGAGGTCCTGAATATACACAGATTTAGTTGATTTACACCAAGTTGCTACAAAATTTGGTCATTTAAGTTTTTACGAGAGAGACTGAAAGATGATATCTACAAAACATGAATGTTGATTTGTATACAATCTACTTGTGTAAGTTTGCAGATTTGCTAGCATTGTGATTTCGAGACAGTAAGGAGAGAATATATGTTAATTTGCGAGGTCATGACAAATCTCAAATTAGCACTAGTTTTCACGAAATATCTGATCGCTGATATCTGATTTTTCCAAAAGAAATTAGATATTTACTTTCTACCCTACCGATTGTTTCAAATTCTCAACGTATGTAACATGCTTGTTTCCTACCTGTACTTTCAAATTCTCTGCAGATGCCAGATAACCAGATATTTACTTTCTACGAATAATTTCAAGCTCTTAACATATATAACATACTTGCTTCCTACCTGTACTTTCAAATCCTCTGCAGATACCAGATAACCAGATATTTACTTTCTACGAATAATTTCAAGCTCTCAACATATATAACATACTTGCTTCCTACCTGCAGTTTCAAATTCTCTGCAGATGCCGAATATACGCTGTGATGGTGAAATTTAGAATTATGATCTCCAAGTCGTATATCAGTTGTTCAGCTGTGTGCTCGGTTATCAATTTCTTCTGAGATCGTATAGGTAACATAGTGTAACTTCGATTATAAAATCAAAAAGTTTGATGAGAAAGTCGCGCACGACAAATTTAGTTGTTTGCACATTTGGAAATCGTTTCAGGCGAATCGAATAAGAATCATTCGCTTTTTAGTGCATTTTTGCGTCAAGAGCAGAAAAATGGAGGTGATCACAAAATTTTCTTTAGATTAGATCTCTTTTTAACTATTGACTCAAAACTTTGTATGAAATAGTTATCCTGGAAGAATATTTGACATACGACTCTAAAAGCTGCTTTTGGCTTCATATCTTCATCGTCACTAATTCTCATTACTCCTCTTTTTAATATTCTCTGTTATGCTAGAAATCTAGAAATCTAGAACGTATTATAACTTTATTGTTCGTGGTATTGTTGCTCTCAAGTTGCAGAATTTCGCATTGTAAATCTAATTGAAAAACTGTAAGGACAGAGAGAACGCTATCAAAATATAGCATAGAGTAAAAGTATATGAGTCATGCTGGTACAAAAGGGTTGTTCGCTATATGATGTAGATAGCGCGTTATCAAAACATCGGCATTTAAATTAAGAGAAAAAATTAATTAAATATTTGCAAACAAATAAGATGTGTATTCACCACTATATATGGCATTATATATCTTTTTCTTTGAAAAGTTTTATCCTTCCTTATTAAAGAAAAAGCTAACGCTGATATACGGAGAATGTAACCCCTTCTTAGTTTATTCGCACATGCGTAGTACGACACAGATGGGGAGAAAAACGATGATAATATCGCATTTGTTTCGATCTTGATAAAAACCAAAATTTAAACCAATTGATTAAAGAATAAGAAAAAAAAATAACGAAAGAGTAAAGAAGGAAAAAATCATGGGTGATATAACAGAAAACAATAAAGTTCTGTTCTCCTTTTCACTTATTCTATATTATTCAGTACGCTTCCTAGGGGATCTTTTTTTTTCATGTTTGACCTGCGCACACCTGACGATTTGCGCATAGCGCATCATTTTCTTATTCAAGAATCTCCAGAAAGTTATGCGCATGGCAGAAAAAATATTCGATTCTGAGAGTAATTGGAACTCAAAACTACCCTTTTGGTTTACATGTGTTCTTTTTTCGTATCGGCAAGTCTCAAGATTTCATCATCCTTAACGCATTACTTTCTTGCACCACATTCGTCAGCACCTCATGCGCAAGCGAAAGATGTTCGTCTAGAGTTCTCTTTGCAATTAGATAATGTTCTTCAGTACGTTCTCTTTCATCTCATACATGCTAGTAACGTTTGGCGGCACATCTAGCTCAACTCTCCACTGTATCTGACCCACACTACATAAAAAAGTGAAAAAAACTAAACTCTTTGGGGTTGATGAAAGTACAACCTATAATCAATCGTTTTTATCGTGTATAAAAATTTTCATCAAACCTTAAAGGATTTATTATTCTAGAAAGTTCAACACCCAGGTCGAACTCGTACGGCGGGAAACTGCAGGAAAGCACCGTAAATCACTGGAACTTGGAAGCAGTATTCTGACCGGATATTTTTCTGTAAATTCTCAGCGATTTCCTGTGCTTTCAGGCAGGAACCGATTGTAAAATCACCGGAAAACAACTGAAAATTTCCGGCCGGAATACTGCTTCTGATTCCCGCGATTTCCAGTGTTTTCCTGCAGAATACGGTGGTTTTTCCCGCATTTTCCTGCCGGTTCCCGCAGTATCCGCTCGCCGAAATCATTAACCTGGGTACAAACACGCATCTGTTGTCCTTTGCCTGTTCCTCAGGCAGTTACTTCTTATCACCCCTCTTCCACATGATCACGCTATAAGATTTATATGTACTGCATCATCATGCGCCGATCACCTTTCAATGATATCAAAGATATTTGTGATTATCTTCGTAGCATACACATGTTGTCTATCAAGCTGTCTACAGTGCATAACATAAGACAGCAAACAAAGGTGAAACAGTTCAGTCCGTGTTACTGTATGAACAGTAGATGAGGGTCATGATATGTGAGCTAGTTATTCACTCTATTTCAGTTCAAGGTAAAGGTCTTTCTCATATTCCGCTCCATTTCTTTGAGACATTGCCATACCGAAGGTTTGTTCGATTTGGTAAACTTTTTCGTCGAAATATTTTGAGTCAATTGAAGAATTTCTACGTTTTCAAGGACATTATATTTCCGAAAAAATAATCTGATGCACTGAAAAACCCTTGGACAGAGAATTAGGCTATCTCATACTTCACTTTTGAGAAAATTCACAACTTATTATACATTTAACGATGATTCTATTGATTCGGAAACTTCAATAGGAAAAACTGTGTAGTTTCTTTCACTCTAACAGAGATATATTGATTAAAACTGCGCTGTGAATGTCCTGTCTGAAGAATTTTCAACAAAACCTCCGAAATGTAGAAACTGTTTGTCTTGTAGTGTATGTTGTACTTTTGCGCAAGCTAAAAACCTGCTAATTATATGACGCACAACTCATATTATTGATTTCTTCATACCTGTAAATTATGGTGTATTAAAAATAAATAAATATCGTTTGCTTAGTGGAACAACCAACTCGTTCTACACTAGTTTTCTTCCCAAAAAAAGAAAAGTATTATCGATCAGAGTTGACGGATGCAACGTTCTTCTTATAGTGAATTCATGAGAACAAGACAGCGAGCCAATTCGCAGAGCAGTAGCTAGTCGTTCGTCGGCGCCACTCATGACTAGCCACTGCTACAATCTACTAAACTCTTCGCACGGGATACCATTGCCGATTTACAGTGGGTTCAGTGGCACGGGAGTATGCATGAAGTCACTGTCGGTCGAGTCAGATGAAACTTCGAAGGTTGGCGCTAATTACTCTCACGTTAGTTTTAGATATTTTCAGGGGCGGTCTCCAGCTAACAGAAAATGTTTTGAGCAACTAACTCTGATTACGTGGAGAATAGGAATATAGTAGATAGACGTTGTAACGTATGTGGTAGTATACACTCGTTACTAACATCTGTAATAGTAAAAATATACCATACAGTCGTAACTATGGATTATAGTAATAAAAACGACAGATTTTGAAGATTAATTAGATACTAAATCTTAATTATAATGATATATAATTAGAGAAACTAGATTTTAATTACTGATATGAGTAGTGGTGAATACAGGTAATTGCTCTGTACCAAAATTTCATCTAATTAGTGCACCTAAAGTGTTACTTTTTTCATGTTTTATGCCTGTAATGGGGAGGTCGTACAGGAGAGCCGCAAAAACTTTACACTTCAACTTACACTCACTATTTTCTCCGAAAATATATGTGAGTTCCACCAAACAGAAATGTAAGAACCGATCTAAAGTAATTCAACAGCGTTGATTGCTAACCAACAGTCAGTAACACTCTGACAAAACTCTAAAGAAGGGTGTTCACTATAGAGAGAGAGGTTCAATTCTAGTCAAAATCACAACACGGGACTGGGAAAAACCGTCCACTGTACGGAGGTGTCCACTATGGGATGTTTTACTGTAGTAGTTTCACCGGATCATTTTCAAAAGAGGTACTTTTTAGTAAAGATCTCCTGTATTTTCGTGAGTACAGTTATTAGAACTATTTTATGATTATCTTATCATTCCACAGCTACTTGAAGTTTTCTGTGAGTATTTAGGACTTCTTGTAAAAGAATAAAATTCAAATATTCATGATCCGAATCACGTTCTAATGATTTAATCTGAGCAAAGGGCCTGTTAAAAAAGTGAAAAAAAATTCATAATTGCAATGCTTATCGTGTTTGTGAAAAAGAAAATCGTTTTTTTAATTAATCTAAAACAAACAAGGGGTTAGCAAAAAACAAATTTCAAGTATTCACAATTGAAGCGGTGTTATAATTTTATTAGAATCTATTATATTAAGCGAAGAGAAAATATTAGATGTTTGACGCTGGATGCTGCAATCGCTTGTAATCGAGATGACAGTAGATACTTGATTCTAATCTTGTGATTAGTTTCAGTAGAGATGGTAGATAAATATCTGATATCTGTTATCTTATGATCGTTTGAAACTATAGGTACGAAGTAAGCATGTTACATATATTGAGAATTTGAAATCACACGTAGAAAGTAAATATCTGATGTCTGGTATCTCTTGAGAATTTGAAATTATAGGGTACTAGCTTCTAATGGAATTCGTTATTTTTATCGATTTCAGATTCGCAGGATTTTTCAAACTTCTGCGCGGTGAGAATTTGAAATTGAGAAAATTTTGACGGGCTTATTCTAAAATTAGTAACAGTTTAAGATTTGACACTGTATGCGGATCAGTCTCACAGCTTGTATTCATAACTATGGTAACTTTTAATTTTACGTGGTGTAGAAAATATTAAAGAACACTAGTTTTTCTTAAAAAGCCTATGAAAGAGAAAAGAAGCGAACTTTGTTTTTGACAACAATAGAAACTCTGAAATGCCTTTTTCCCAGTGACGCCATGTATACAATGAAATTTTTTATGTTGTTTTTCCAATCTTACTCATTGATATAATTAAAAGAGACATTTATTTGAATGTTTTATTGCTTACACATTTTTATTCCAATTTCATAACTGACACATAAGAAACCATGAAAAACTTCAAAACACCTTCTGAGAAATACCGACAACAAGGTAATGAAATCTTTGCGAAATTAAAACAACAAGAAGATGCTGCATTTGTGGTCCGCCAGGGCCGTTTTACTGATGCTTTGAAATACTACAATCAAGCTTTAAACGCTTCTATGAACGATGATGAACGAGCATCAGCACATAAAAATCTCGGTTCTTTATATTCTTATCAAATTACAAGTACTAATATTGAATCAGCTAATAAAAACGATTATAATCACAACCTGAAAGAATGTATAACATCTTACGGTTATGCGCTTCAATTGGGTAAGAATTATTTAACTTATCCACTGTAATATATTCTGATTGTATAACTGCTATAGGAAGACAAGCAAAATCACAAGAATGGCTAATTTCAATTCGTCATCAAATCAATAATTTCGTCTCCGATTGTTATGCTCAGTTTCTTCTATTACCCACTGAAGAGCGTTTGCGTGCTCTTGAGTTCACTGTGAATTGTTTTGAACGTACAACTCTCAATAGGCTCGATTCAGTAGCCACAGCTTATTACGAACTTGGCCAGTTGATGTTTCAAAACGCTTTGAAGCATTTTAAGAAAGAGCCAAAACTCATTTATAATTGTCTTCCTACTCTAAATCGTGCTTTCTATTGGGCTTGTGAACCTCATACATTCCGATCAAACGAGATGAAAGAGCTTCAAGATAGTATTTGGTTGCACCAATGTATACATGAAAGTTCTAATGCTCGACACACAGGTGTTCGTATGCTAGATTATCATTTACAAAACGATGAAGAACTTAATATGGATTTCATATGGACAATTATCGACAAATTTCGAGAAGCAATATTATTAGCCAAAGAGCTTGATATTGAAGGTAAATTCTAAGATCTGTTCTCGATGTGATCGATAGATTTTACTTTGGGCTAACAGAAAGATCGAAAAATGAATTTTATATAATATTAAAAGACTGAAAGTCGAACGTGGAGTGTGAGTAGAGAACAGAGATGCCCACAGAGTGATTTTTTGTGCCCTGCCCTTGCCCTGTTGAAAAAATGCAAAAATTTTAAATGTATCTTGCTCCTGCCCTGTACCCTGACCAGGGCATGGCAGGGTATCCTGCTGAGCTGGCATACGGAGAATATCTTTGAACCGGATCCGAGTATTTCCTGAATGAATTCATTCCAGACAGCTTTCCAAAAAAGACAGAATACTTCTGAAGCAGAACATGACAGGATCTATCCAGCCCGTATATGAATTCTACTGAAAAACTACCTGGCAGAAAGCTAAATCCCGAAAAACCATACGAAGCTGAACCAATTTTGGTAAAATCCATAGCGATTCGCCCAGAAGAACGTTACAATGACTCATACTATTTTCCATGTAGATCTTGCCGTACTCTATCGATTAGACACATTTTTGGCTCGACTTAACATTCCCGACCTATAGAAATCAGGTCCAAATTCCTAGGTTTTTTGCTAAATCCTTTCGGGATTGCGCAATAGCAGCTTCCCGAGGTAGCCATGGTGGTTTCTAAACAAATTTTTACCCGCTATATCGACTGGAAGCCACTGCGACTATGTTGAAAAATTCTTCCTGGCCAATCACGACGGGATTTAGCAAAATTGGTTGAGTTTTGTATGGCTTTTTTATGGTTTTTGTGACTTTCAGTCTTTTTAGGAAGATTTTGAGTACGATTGGCATCTGGGCTGAATAGAGCTCAGGAAGTTCTACTTGGAAAGTGGTTTTGTCCTTGTTCGGTAGTCTTTTGGAGTAACCCATTCTGAAAATATTCGAATTTTCCATTCTTACTTAAGATATCCTACGTCTTTTATGGTCACTATTTATAATTATCTTGATTCTACGGTGTTCATACGGTGGTCAATATAAATCAGAAGTTCTGCTTATCAGTTGCTGTCGTTCTCTGGAGTCTATTTCTTATTTTTGATGCTTCGAAACTAAAAGTATTTCTTCAAAACTGAAATTCAAACAACTGACTTTTTACCCTATAGGATACGGCTCCCACCCTGCACTGCCCTGGTCTACCCTGTCCTGTGGGCATCTCTGGTAGAGATAAGGATGACATCTACAACTTTAATCATAACTTTCATTTCTTGGCATTATCACGTTTCAAAAATTCTATCTGTGGATATTATTGGGCCAATAAGTAGATAGGTGGTTAGCAAAATTAAGAGATCATTGTCTAATGTTGTTCTAACAATTCATTATTAGAAAGAAAGTTAGTATTTGCTTTTATTTTAGGCGAGGCGCGTGCATGTCATTGTACAGCGACAGTCTATGAAAAAGTGTTAAAAATGGACGATATAGCTTATAATTATCATCTTCGTTGTATAACACTTGCTCAAACTTTAGTACCACGAAATCTAACTAAACATGAATGGTATATGAAGAGCAGTTCTTTCGTTCAAAAACATCGTGCGAAAAAAGTAAACGAAGAAGAGAAGATAGATGAAGAGCGTTATAAGAATTTTCGCACTGAACTAGCATCAGACTTGAAGGAACTGAACAAGGCAGCCGAAAAAGGAGCACAGGAGCTCCTTAAGTATATCTATGAAAAACATCCACCACGTAAAGAAGGTGCGACGATGGGTTCTATTGAGAGTGATCAATTAATTAAGACTGTTAAAACAGCTTTGCTTCATTATCATCCGGATAGGCAATCAGTTTTCAATGATAAAAAATGGACATTTCTCTGCACTGAAATAACAAAAATACTCAACGCCAAGCACGAGATCTTGAAGCTTGGCAGTTAAAGAAATTTAACTTACACTCATTGGTAATGAATGAGCAGAAAATAAGATAACAACATCATTACGAACATTGTCTGGAAATTTGCCTAATTCATTACGAATATTTTCAACAAATGCCTATAATATACTTTTATTACTTTTTATCCATAGTAAAGATTTTATCTTACTTCAATAAAGCCAGGATGTGTTTGCCAACGATCAATAACACTCCATTGAAGATCATTCAATGTATGACTATTTATCATAGATTTATTTGTTTCGGGAATTTGATCATCCTTTTCTAATTTTGATTTTTTCGTTTTTGCTGTATAATATCGAGCAATTGCATTTAAACTACTACCCGTAGTTGAACAACTATATTGTGGATATTGTGTAAAAGCAATAATCCGTTGAGGACGATCTCTGAAAGCAAACGCTGATTAAAATATTTAATTGTACACGAAAAAGAGTGCATTACTTTTCGATTTCATCAAGTGTCATTTCAGTTAATGGTTTGACATAACGAAAACCAATATAATATTTATGAGGAGCTGGAAAAAAATCTAAGAGAATTTCCATTTACTATTAAGTTTGTACCTGTTGATGGTGATATCTGATCGAGTAATTTAACCATTCCTTCGCCTTGTTTTTTTGTCCACATTTTAATTGGAGAACCACCACCAATTTTTGCATATTGTTCTTGAATACTTGGCGTTCGACGACGAGCAATCAAAGGGCCCAATGTTCTAGTAAAATTGTTTTGTTTTGAAGATATTAAATTAGAATTGTTAAAAAGCAAAATATACTTTTGGGCTGGCAAAGGAATAAGATCTTTATCAGAAAAGAGACGATTGAGAAAATCATATACTTCATCTGTTGTTTCCGGACCACCCATATTGAGCAAAATGATGCCTGTATTCACTTGACTACTAGAATGATATTTTTTTCTCTATTATAAAATTTACCAAACGATAAAATCCTACCTTTGAAACTGATTACTTTTTTGATTGTCCTGTTGAGTTGCTGAGACACCAGTTGTGGTACGAATAGTCGTGTTCGATAAGCAAGAAGTTACTAATTCTAATATAAAGCAAACTTTCATAATATATTAAAAATGACTCAATCAGCATACTTGATGAAAATTGAAGTTTTAAATATGATGATAACATGATTACAATTATAGAAATCGATCTAAAATAAAACCTGATGGTCGACAATCCCAAGTCAAAAACGAACAATTAAAGCTTGGTGCTGATTAACAAAAGTCGTCACGCTAGTAGAATTTCATCACATTGTACATAGTCTATTGAGCAAAGCGAGTGTAGGAAGAGTAATTTATTTAAAAGAAAAGAAAAGTTTATATTTCTGCTGGGATGAGACTTAATCAAATGGCTTGTATGTCGAATCAAAGAGTAGATTTTATTTATAAGTATCTTGTAAATATTGGACAATCGTTAGCTTTATGTGCTTTCGTTAAAACCTTTCAATTTGTTGTCTGTGACTCAATAAAAATAAATCTCATTTGCAATTGCATCCGAAAACTACTTTAGCATTACCTAAATGAAAAGCGATGCCGATGTGATTATTTTATAACATATTCTAGATTATTATTATTTTCAATATTCATATCAATTAATTAAACTTACTAAATTAAGATACAATCAGTTGTTATACACGTTTAAAAATCATATATATGGAAAGAAATAAAAGAAACAAATCTTCAATCCGAAAAGCAAATGTTACAGAGATTTGTTTATTCTCTTTTTCTTTTTAACAAAAACAAACATGTTATATATCCCTTATAAATAGGCAAGACCAGATTTTCTAGACTCTAAACACTCAAGAAAAGAATACAAAGATAGTCATCATAAAAAAAACAGAAATCAGCAGAGCAATCAACATGAAGACGAATAATAAAATAACAACAACAACAACAATAGTAATAATAATAATAATAATAATGATGACGATGATGATAAAGATTCACCTAAAGGAATGAATAAAAATGTCTTTGTCCATTAAGATAATTTGTTTGTTTTATTCAGCTTTCTTCTTTGGTAAATCATCACGATGATAGAGCACAAGAAAACTAAGAAGAAAAGCACCAGCCATCATTGAAAATGTTGATATATAATATGGATAAGCCGATGTTATAAATCGTTCATATTCCGTATGAAGTAAAGGATGAACAGAAACCTATAATACAAGAAAAAAGAGACATTCAGTACTTATATAAACTTTCATTCTATAGATAAATGAGATTGAATGACTGGCCCCAGAAAATCGAAACTTCCTCATGTAAGAACCACAAATAAATGTTTGCATTTTTGCTTAAACAGACTCTTAAAACAAGTTGTGACATTTTTCTGACATAAAACAAACACTAATGGAATCAAGAATGTTGAACCAACTGAAAACTTTTCATCGTTGACATTTATTAGCGAAAACTTACTTGTGTTGCTGAGTATAAATGTGAATAGCCAACACGATTATAATCAATAACAAATTTAAAGATACCATAGGTATCTGGAACACGGAATTGTGCTTCAAGTTGGCCACCTAAATTAATTAAATTTTTTTCATCATCAAAATTCTTGCATCTATCAAACCTTTATTAGCCAACGTTGTTCGTACGAATGGATCAATGCGGACAAATTCTAATTGAACATCTGTTCCATTAAATGGCATCCATTTTCCATGAACAAATTCATCGAATTGTACATTAAATACCTAAGCAAATAGAAAAGAACTCAATTAAAACATAGGCGTAATGTATAATTTTCATACAATATCATTTTTAACAGTATAAAATCTAGGTGTTGACTTATCACTCTTTAAATAATGATGAATATTTCTTGAACGCAAAACACCACGTTGTTTAAATAACCAATCGGTTAAGGCAACAGCTAAATCTTGATTGCCAGATTTATCAGATCTAAATCAAATAATTATTTGCTGTTTTTCTTTTAAATACAAACTAATCTAGTTTTACTTCTTTCCATTATTTGGTTGAGCTGCACTAAGGAAGAAATCGTTGCTGAAGAAATCCAATGAACCAACAAAACCAACACGAGCATTATTACGAGCTTGAAGAACAGATATTAACAATGTTCGTTTACCAACCGTAGCTGGATACTAATAAGTAAAAACAAAAGAAATTATTTAATTCAATAATTTATTCATTCAGTACTTCAGATAGTGTTTTTTCATCAGGATTAGCTGTATATGATGTTGATGAAGCAGTTAAAACATCGAGCAGTAATGGATTTTCTGGATCGGATGACATTCTTTAAAAGAAAAACGAAGTAAGGTGAAACAAAAATTCGGCGTCAAAATCGTACCCAGTGCCTCGGAAAAGAAATGGCAAATTATTTTTCTTTGCTTGTCCAACAATTAATTCTGACGAAAGAAGATTATTTGGACTGGCGACAATCAATGTATGCTAAAAATATAATTTATCAAATTGTTTATTTGCAAGAATCTTGATTTATTCTTACTTGTCCATCATCACTAAGATCATAATTAAGATGGTCCACAACGGCACTTTTATCATCAGCAAATTCAATACCACATTCACTAGCAAATTCACGAATAACATCACCTAGAATTACCAATGAATGATTTATCTATGGGACATAATAAATATTAAAAGTTATTTACCAACTGTATTACTGCCTGCTACAAGAACATTACCACCAGCATCAACAAATTGAGTTAAAACTTCAGCATCCAAACGGCCACCGAATTCTTTAAAAAAAGAGCATTTTCCACAACAGAAAAGAACAACAAGAAATTCTTTACCTTTGGTTGATGGTGCAAAGACAATAACATGATCATAAAGATATTCGCCATATTTAACAATTTGTAGACTGCTATCATCCGATGTTTTAAATGTTATGGAATATCCACGATCTATGAGTAGATATTATTTAGAAAAATAGCAATTGCTCGTTCTTCGGCACAATCTCAGCAATTGTTGCTAAGCATAGAGAAATAGGTTTACTGGAGGTATTAATGAGCATATATTTTTAGTTTACATAGTATGACAAGATGCTATCGATCTGTATACTTTAATACTTTTTTAATGGAAAAAAAACCAATAGCAATCGTCAGTATAACTACTAGTTTCAATCACAAGTACTTCAGAATGTGAACAGCTATCGAAATAAAATTCATCATTCGATTGTCAATATAGGTTTGAAAAAACACAGCTATATTTCTGATACTCCTCACAGTCAATAATGATCTAATATACACTAATTCAGGTCATTTGGCAATATGCGCATACATCATAGTCGTCAACCTTGTTGGACGCTATTCAGAACTAAATCCAGTCTCAGCACTTACCTCCGGCCTAGAGAATTGATATAAAAGATAGCAGCGAAAAACATATCTCTATTCACAATCGTTGAAATAAACATTCAAGCAAGATTCTGCTCTCGCTCCATTATTTTTACCTTTTAATTGTTTAAAATAAAATGAATGTGACTCTCGTAATCCCAAATTATCAAGTAATACTAATAAACGCTTTGATGAACCATCTACATTTAATGACGATGACCAAACACTAGCAAATAGCAATAGCCCAACCGCAAAAATGAACAAACGAGCCATGGTTTGTATCTAGAATAACGATAGATATGCAATCAACATGAATCGTCGACAAAAAGTCCACAGTTTATCGAAATAGGATGCCACATTCGTCTCAACATATAATTGCTAGATTGTACTATCCAATTAAAATCCACTAAAGATGTCACTTTTGCTATTTTGATCAGAATATTTTTTTTAAATGTTAAGACAAGAGAAAAAAAGAACATAAAGACGGAACACAAGAAAAAAATGTTTTATGATCCTTGGCTAAGACATGAAGTTGTTGTTTTCTAACGAATGCTTTTTTTAAAGATCGTAGACTTTTGGTAAATCATTTCCAAGGACATCAATACGTTCAACACCGTCTTTATCAATAATAGCTAAACGAGCACAACCACCACTTGAACCATCACGTGTTATAGCCAATGTAACAGCTAAAAACGAGAACAAAAAAAGCATTAAATTGAACCGAAGCTCTATTTAATCGTCAATAGACCTTTTAATACGAAATCGTAGCATTCTTGCTTGGTCATATTTGGGCGATAATTATTATCGAGATAACCCCAAATATATGTACTACCTGAACCACCAAGTGAAATTGGTTGTCGACAAAGTAAGCCACCAAGTGGACATGAATAAACCTATAGATCAAAGATTGAAAATATAATATTCAACGGGTTTCGTTCCATGTATAGAAATTTTACTTGTCCACCAAGTTTTTTATCCCAACCAGCAACAATAAGGCCAGCTACAAAGTCATCACGATATTGATAGATTAAACGACGAACACAATTAGCAGCAATGCGTACAAGTGGTGGTTCATTCATTTCAGCACTAAAAAGAGATGATTACCATTTCTTCTTTAAGTTCTTGAAGAAGTTTTAATATAATGAAGTAACTTTGTTTTTAATTTGAACGCGATTATGCAGCTGTAGAGCTTAGACGAAGTCTATTGTATGGGCACTGTAGAAAATTTTCATAACTGAATGCTCACTTTTGATCCGGGACTATGTATATGAAATCACTTTTTATCACATTTTTTCAAGGTTAAAACAGTTTTCTCTGCTAGTAACACTGCTGTTTCCCATTGAAACTTAAAAACTGAGCTAATTATGGTCTACCTCTGGCATAACAGTAAGAATTAAAATTCATCCATTCGATTACATTCTTCATTAAAAAAGGAAATCAATTGTTACTAACGTTAGTATGAAAAATAGCAAGCAAAATTCTGAGGAACAGACATTAAAAAACTTACGCAAGAAAGTCCAGTTGATAAGTAACAATTTCCGCAATAGCTTGAGTGTCTGCAGCACCACCCGATCGAAGACAATATATTCTATCGGTTAACTGCGTTAATTTATCTGTAAATCGATTCATGACAAATGATCTGTTCAAAAGGCAAAGATTATCATTCGCATACGAATTTCCTTTTTGTTAATCATCTTACCCAGCTGAAGTACGTGTATCCGCACCAATAACGACTCCTCCATCAAATTCAACGGCAACAATTGTTGTCTAAAAATCAATGATAAATTAATCTATGTAGTTCATAGCACAGCAACAAAAGAAAGAAATATCGTACGCCAGTTGATACTGGAGCTTGTTGGAATTCCATTGGTAAAATAAGTTTATCCATAGCACTATAATTTGTTCGTTCACTTAACATATCTTCTTCAGCATCATATGTCTTTGGATTGAGTACGTCCATTACGTTTCTTTAATCTAGAATGAATACTTTTATTTGTACGAGACAATCTTTTAAATAAAAAAGCACGCTTGGTTTTTATTTTTGTATAAAGAAATAACAAGAAAAAGATTTATTTAATTATATGTCATATAACGTGGTGTTGAACTAAATTTAGCATATGCTTTTATAACCTTATTAATAGCTTCGATAAAATCTTTTTCAGTTGCTATTTTTCTTCGTGCACGTATAGCAAACATGCCTGCTTCTGTACAAACACTACGTAATTCTGCACCGGTACTATTTGGACATAATCGAGCTAATAATTCATAACGAATATCTTTTTCTACACTCATTGATTTTGTATGAATTTTAAATATGTGTGTTCGACCCTGAAAAAAGATAAATTTCGATTTATTATTATTATCATTATTATTCTATTGATGTTTTAAACTGACTTCTAAATCTGGTAGGTTAAATTCAACTTTTCGATCGAGTCTACCAGGACGAACAAGTGCTGGATCGAGTGTATCAGGTCGATTTGTTGCCATTAGTACTTTAATATTTCCACGTGGATCAAAACCGTCTAGTTGATTAATTAATTCTAACATAGTACGTTGTACTTCATTGTCACCACCAGCACCATCATCAAAACGTGCTCCACCAATAGCGTCGACTTCATCAAAAAAGATGATACAAGCTTTTTTACCACGTGCCATTTCGAACAATTCACGAACCATTCTTGCACCCTAGAGAAAAAGTAATTTTGATTAGAAGATTGTTTTTTTTTTATTATATTCGAAACCAACCTCTCCAACATATTTTTGAACTAGTTCAGAACCAATAACACGAATAAAACATGCATCCGTTCTAAAAACAAAAGAAAAATAATTGCATTCATTTACGAATCTAAAGAACTATGATGAAAATGAAGGCTATTGATATTTTTATCGCGACATGGCCTTTTCAAAATTTAATAAATCTTGACTTCCATTGCAAATAGTATTGTAGACTGCAGCTTTTTGTTTATCATTATATGTAGAAATAATTTTAACTTTAAACCTTCATAAACTCGAATATTGTTTAAATGCTATACGATCACTTCTTATATTTGAGAATCTCTTACCTATTAGCAACAGCTCTTGCGCAGAGTGTTTTACCAGTACCAGGCGGTCCATACAATAAAACACCTTTGGGTGGTTCAATACCCAAATTTACGAATTTTTCTGGCTAAAATATAACAAATAAAAATAGGAATACTGTTTGATTCTATCTTTTGACTTACATGCAAAAGTGGAAGTTCAACAACTTCACGGAGTTTTTCAATTTGTTCTTTACATCCGCCAACATCACTATATGTGACATCAGGCTTTTCTTCTACTTGCATCATTGTAACTGATGGATCAATTTTCGGTGGCAATGGTAAATGTATTTGATATTTATTTCGATCCACGCTAGATAAGATTTATATTTGTTTGTGTTATTAAAGCATTATCTAAAATTTCAATGTCCTACCCAACACGCATGCCTTCTTCAATATCTGTTGGTGAAACAGTATCAGCAAGATCGACAACAAATTTTGCGAATTGTTTAACATTGATGATATATTTAGCATCGTCACTTCCTTCGTTAATTATTTTCGTACAACGTGCTACTTGTAATGGTTGTTCACCTGAACGACAAAATTTTTTGTAGTTAAATCGAAAGAAAAAAGAAGAAGAAATACTTTGAAGTGCTTGTTTATCTGCAGCTAAATCCCATAGTGCCGGTGGTGCAAGACCAGTATCTGATTCTTTTATGCCAGATAATTCATTTACTCGTTTCAATGCTGTTTGTACATCTTCTTCTGTTTGTTTTATTGCTTTATCGTACGGACCAGCTCCCTAGAATAATATATTTAGAATGGTTTCCTTTTTTTTCGTATGCGGTTATTTACTCACATAAGACTTTAGAAGAGCGATTTCGGCTTCATCAAGTGCTAAAATAATGAGATCATGATTTAATCGTTCATCGAAAACAATTATAAAAATTACCTTTGATAGGTTTATCTTCCTCTTTCTCGTCTTTTTGTTTAGTTTTACGTTGATCTTCACCAAGATAATCCGGCATTTGATTAGTTTATTTTTTTTAACTCTACAAATAACTATTTCAATGAAAGAAATGAAGAAAAATGAACGACAATTGACTGTGTACCGATGAATCATTGAAGAAAAAAAATAAAATTTCTATTTTTTTCTTATTTTTAAATAGTATTTAAAGTATTTTTGTTTATTTGAATTTTTCTAAAAATAAAATCCAATTTTCCGAAGAAAAACATTGATTTTTATCAGTGACATCTGTAGAAGGATTGTTACTATGGAAATCAAAATTGCAAATGGTAATAGCTATTAAATAGTTATTTTCTGCTTAACAATTATAGCAATGGCATCTCGAGCTGAAAAAATCGATCGTTTTCCAAATAAAATTCTCATTAATGTGTCTGAGATACAAAATCTGGTATGGAATATTCTATTAATTAGATGTGAGGGTAGCAATGTTTAGTTTATTTGATTTATAGAAAAGTCCAAGAGCTGAACCATTAAATGTATTTCTTCGTTTTGAATATAATGATGGGCAATTTTCTGAGTCAGGAAAATTCGATGTCACTGATGGAAGTCCAAGACCAGTCGATCATGTTGCAGTTTTAGCTGTTAATGCTTCCGATCCAGTACAAATTGATGATCTAGGACAGAAACCTGTTTTAGGTAAAAACAAAATTTTATTATTTATCATATCATTTGTTTGTTCTCCTTTAGTTACACTATTTGAAGCTGTACCGAAAGATAAAAAGCAAAAAGAAGACAAATCAACACCGATTGGACAAGCTGTAATTGATCTTTGGCCTTTGCTCAAAAGTAACTTTAATTGTTGAAATTTATTGAAGATATCATTATGATTTGTTCTTAGATGAAACTCAAGCTTCAATCGCTTCACCTATTCATGCTATTCCGGGATCATATCTTGAAGCACAAGGAGAACAGAATCAGGTATTATTGCATTAAAAAACAGTTAATCATTCTGAAATAGCTCTGCTCAATCTTATAATGAAATCAAAAGATAGTTTCTAAAGAAAAAAAATCTCTTTTTTTATGATCGCATTTGAAATCGATTGAATACTTCTTTTTTGTATTTTGATAGTATTGAAATGAACAAAGATAAAATGAAACTTGATTATTATAGATCCACTTATGTTCAAGGTCATTGATCTCTAGATAGAAATTTTCTACACATTGATCTGTCAACAATAGATAATAGTCAAATGTTATCAATATTAAATTTGTGAATTTGTTTTGTTTTCGTAAGTTTCATATCGTAGTGGATCATTAAAATGAACAAAATCATTGATTGTTGTATCATTTCGCAAGTTCATAAGCATATGACAAGTTTGGAGAGCGGTATCAGATTTCCTTGTTATCGTACAAGTGCATACCACTCAACTATACACTGTGATAACTTAAAACAATATGCTTTTGATTTAAAAGAAAGCTCAAGTTACCATTACAGAGAACTAAATTTCAGAAACTCTTTCAAAAGAAAAACTATATCCCTGAAAAATTTAAGTAGACACTTTGCGAAAAAGAATATTATTCAGATTTGTTTTGTTAGCCATCGATCAAATATCAGGAGACGTTCGTTTCTCAAAACTGCTTATTTTTCTTTTAGCCATCACTAAGTTTCACTGTCAGCACCGAGCAACCACTTGTTCCTGTTCGCGATCAAGCCAATACTAATGCAGTTCGTATTACATTAGAAGGTTTATATTCACCCCCAGAAGCATGGTTAGCTGGTGGAGCATCATTTGTTTACACAGCAACATTACCCATACCAATTAATGATGATGTAAGTTATTTTTCGATAAATTTCTGTTTTTCATTATTATTTATATTTTTCAAATAGAAAGAAACAACTGTTGTATTTACAAATGGTACACTACGTGCAGCAGCTGATGCAACAAACAAGCAAAAACGTTGGCCTGACGCCCGTGGAATTGTTACGCTCAATGGCAGCTATATGCCAGGACAGTAAGTGAATAGAAGTACATACGTATATGTTTATAAGCAAAACAAAAAACCATTGTACTTTAGAGCCATACAGGAAGAATCCTTTGACGATGAACAAGGTGAATTACGTAGTAAAGATGACAGAGAATTTCGAACAAATTCAGAAAAAACTAAACCACAAGTTGTATGGAATCTTGAACGACGATGTTTCTTACTTCCATTTGGAAGTGCGAGGTATTTCCAAAGAAACAATAATTTCTTCAATACAGAATGAAAAGCAATTTTCTTATTTTTTAAATATTATTAGTTTGCAACATCAACTAACACGTGTACCTTTCATCGCAGTTGAAGTCGTTCGTACAGCCACTCCGACAGCACCTAAAGGAAAAAAGGTTTGTTTTAAACGAACATTAATAATGAATATTTTTCAGGACGAATATTTTTCAGGATGACGATACTGGTATTAGTTATCATGGTGTTGTTTATATTGAAACAGCGCCGCTTCTCTATCCAGGCGGTAAGTCTAAAAGTAATACTTAACATGACATTAACATTGCTTTTATAGCAACAAGACTTCGAGGTGCCTATAAAATTGTTCCATACAATGAAACTGAATATAAAGCAAAGGTAATCGAACAAGAAAGAAATTTTATTTTATTATAATTTGTTTTCATGAATAGACCAAACGAGCTGGCAATGTAATAGATGAAGCGATGAAAATAGCTAATCAATTATTTGATCGTTCATCGTTGACTGCCACGAAAAAAGATACAAAATTAACCGTAGATAAACAAGCAACAGCTGCTGCTACCAGTGTACCAAAAAAGGTAATAAATATTTTTTCTTACTGACTCTTCGATCTAGCAAAAACTTCATAACATGCCTTTGACACGGAGCTCTTTTCAGAAATATGACAAAACATCGAAGTCGAGAAGAAACCATTGTTAAACTTTTAGGGAGTATGACACGATAGGACAGGTGTTCAATAGTAGCAAAATTTCAGAAATACTCATCAGAACTTTATAGTACCAATATTTTATATTAAGATAAAACAAAATCGAAAAGATATAAAAATATTTTTTACAGCTGAAGAAAAGATATGCTTCACAATCGCCTAAAAGAAAAAAACGATTGAAAAAACGTCGAAATTTATCATTAGAAGAAAAAATTTTGAAGAAAAAATCTTTAAAAGTCATAGCTTTATTTGCATGCTAATTTTGATTTTGCATATTTTTGTTTTTAAAGTTTCAAAACCAGAGGTTTAACTTTCTGTAAGTTTTTTTCCTTTTCAGAAAACAGAAGCAGGCGAAGACGCATCTTCAGTAACAACAGAAGCTCAACAATATGTTGAACATAGTTCTTATGTAACTATCGATATCGTTCTTGACCGACCTATAATTGAAAAACGAAAATTAAGTGATTTGTATCGAAAGTAAGCAAAAACATTTTATATGTGAAGGTTATTCATTTAAGATTTTGTTTTCTATAAAGAGTTTCTGATCTGATTCCACCTCGTCCGCCTTATCCATTAAAAACCAACAGTGCGGGCAAAGCAGTTGACGATTATCATCAACAAATAAAAAATGTTTGTAATTTAATACTTGACGAATATCGGTTAGTAGAAATAAAGCGGGAAAATAAGAATTCAAAATTCAATTTTATGTTCATAGAAAAGTATGTATCGATGATATTACTGTAGAGGGAACTCTCCCAAACGATCAAAAGTAAGTTTTATTTTTGTTTTGATTAATATGCTGTAATTGATCTTAATAGACGTCGCAAATTATTATATGAACTTAATTCAACTGGTAAATATTTTGCATTTAAAGAACAACTTAAGCATAGTGTGATAAAAATTGTTCGAGAAAAATATCTTCGTACAAGTAAATTCAATGATCCTGATGAACTTCAAGCAAGGAATTATTTAATTATTAAATATATTTATTTTTGATATGCTCATTTTTAGACATTTATTAGTCAATTATACGTATTTCTTCTTGATGAAATGCATCGCTCATTAAATAAATCATTGAATATCGAAGAACCTGAACCAGTACCGCCATCAAGAAATACGGATCCACAATTACGTATGTTTGCACTTGAAGCCGAAAGTAATGGTGATTATCTATTAGCTGCTCATTATTACAAACAGGTAAATTAATATTTTTTTAATAGAAAACAAAGAAGCTTACGGCTGTTTTTTCTTATAGCGTCTTGCACAAAGTTCGGATAAACTTCGTCCATGGCTTGATTATGCTGCTTTTCATTTACTTGTCAATGATCTGATTAAAGCTGAAGAATGCCTTAAAGAATGTATTGCAATTGAACAAACAAATAGCACTGTGTAAGAAAAACATTTTCACTTTTTCACAATAGAACTGAAAGTGCTCAAATGCAGGAGATTCGAACTTTTCGGGTTCTCATTTTCTTTCCATAGCAATTAAACTATTCGGTCCTGTAGACATGAATGCCTATGCCAGCCATTATAGAAATAGTACACATCGAATTGCGATTAGATTGAGTTGCTTTTTCCAGAAGTTATCTTATTTTTAAAAAGAAGATGATTATGAATGGGACGCGTACGGATAGTTAACTGGAGTGAAATGAAATTTTCTTCTATGAATATTTTGTGTATGCGTGTGCTTATAGATTAATCTTATATGCGGTTCTCAATGCTGTATTGGAGAATAATGAAGTTGCTGATTTATTCTTTGAAACTGCTACAACTCAAGATAGTGAAAATGTTATTGCATGGTCACTTTATGGTATGAAAGACTCTTTGATAAATAATTAATCTTCGATGGTTATTTATATTTAGCTATCTTTCAAAAACATATTGGCGATGAAAAAAATGCTCAAATCACATTAGCAAAAGCAGAAAAACTCCAACGAGCTATTTTAAAACATGAAGAAGAACAAACTGCATCAGCTAATATTCAATTAACATCACCAATCAGTGATGAAAAACGTGAAGAAGAAGAAAAAGATCGTCTTGGTGCCGAAGAAAAAGGTTTGTTCTACTTACGAGGGAACGATTTCACAGTTGAAAACGTCCCCTCGTTAGTTTGATGATTTACTTTCGATGGGAATAATTTATCTTTATTTTTGTAGAAGAAATAACAAAAAGTTCCGATTCTCAATTAAATGTTGCATCTAAAAGTCGTCTTAGCCGTAGCAGTCGATCAAGTAAACAAAAAATAGGTAAAAATCTAATTTATTTCCTATCTGCTTTATACAAATTCTCAATTCAGTAGAAAAATCTAAATCTACTGTCAATGAACCAATCACGACTAGAAAATCACAAGATATTTCTAGTGTCATGGAAATCGAAAAAGTCACAACTAAAAAAAGTATCTATCTCAAATCAGCTGAATTCTTGCTCAAATACAATCTTGCGGCTGTATGAAGACTTTATTTTTCCTATTATGATTAAACAGCGTTTTATTTTGTTTTGTTTGTGTCTTTATAGTGGGCAGAAAAAGCATTAGCCTATGAATTTCTTGCTAATAGTGGTAAAGATCAACAAGTGGAAATTACTTTAGCCAAAGCGAGAATCCTTCAACAAGATTTCTCAGCAGCTGAATCACATATTACACAAGCATTATCGATTGATTATGAAAATGTTGAAGCATGGGCACTTTGGGGACATGTTAAATATTTACAATTAGATTTCGAGGCTGCAAAAGGTTTTCTTTCTGAAAGAAATTAAAATTGTTTTCAATATATATATATATATATATATGTAAACTGATTTTAGGTCGATATCAACGTACATTAGTTTTTTCAGAAAAACCACCAGATCTTCATACAGTTTATATTCGACTTGGTGCGATTTTATTATCGGAAGTCAAGGAATCGAGTGTATGCTAATTTGTTTTTGAGAATATTTTTCTAAAATTTTATTGTTTTTTTCATTAGTATTCTGAAGCAAAAGAAATATTTTTACGTGCTTGTCGCTATCAACCAACATGTACAACATATTTAGGCCTTGGTGTTGCTTGTTATCGAGTATGATAGAAATTTGTGTTCTGAATATGAATATACGAAGATGGTGATATTTAGATGAATCAATATGATGATGCAGAAGAAGCACTGACAGAAGCGAATTTTCTTAATAATCAAAGTGCAGGTAAGATATCAATTAGGAATAGACGGGTTTTGTATTGTTATGTTATTTTGCAGAGGTTTGGGGTTATTTAACTCTTATTTGTTTACAAACCAAACGATACATTGAAGCTGAACAAAGTTATAAATATGCCATTAAGGTAAGTAAGAAAAATTGAACAAAAATTGTAGATCATATGTTCGGTTTTTTATTCGAGATAAGAAGGAGAACTTAGAGTTCAGAACACAATTTACTAATCTTATTAAATAGACTTACGCTTTCTCGACCATCTATAATCAGTCAGTGTTGCAGACGTCTGTTTTTTCATTAGAGAACATTTGCCGTATAAAGTTCTTATGAGATTCGACGATAAATATGAGCTGCTCAATCTTGAATCAAAAAAACATGACTTTATTTATGATCATTTTGAAATGAAAACAAAAATAGACTGTGATTAATTGCATCGCTGCAGAACATAAGAGAAGGAGATTTAAATCGGAAAAGTTCACATTCGATATAATTCGAACCGAACAGAAATAGTCAATAGTTTGTCACAACATTGACTTCAGTACGCATTCAAAACTCTATCTAAATTCAATAGTGAATTTTTGGTATTCATTTATCTAAATTATCTTAATCCAGGAAGCAACACTTCTCAATAGACTCTCCTAGTGTGGTCTAACATTAGACTAATGTATCATGTTTTTCTTTTAGCTTGATCTTCCAGCAGGTCCATTACTTGATGAAATCAAGACAGTACAACATCAAGTTGGTTTTGGGAATCCAAGTTTTTAGAAGAAATTATCAATAATTCTTTTTTTTATTATTTTTCTTTTATAAATCATAACACAATGAGAAAAAAAGAAACATAATACGCTCTTTACAAAATATACACAATTACATTTTTTTTAAATCTATTTGTTTCTTTTTTCTTGTTTTTGTAATCATGCATGCGTAATTTTTTAACAAAAGAAACAGATGAGAAAAGAGCGACAGAATTAACTTTTGAAAATAAAGCAACAAAACATTAAATCATGATTTATGTTGTTTGATTGGGCTGAACTAAATAAACAAAACAAGAAAAAAAGGTTGTTTCAATTAAATATTCAAGTAAATGTAAAATTAATAAGCACTAGTGATATATAACGGGGTGCGCGAAAGTTTTTAGACAAAATGTTTGTTGATTTTTTATTCACTTGAAATTATTTTTGACGAGTCAAGCTTTACGCGTTAGAACCAGAATTTTATGCTCTTTTGGAATATGAACTTACTAGTTTTGTGTCGGTTTTTGTTCGAGAGTAGTAAGTTAATCTTGGAAAGGTTCAAAAAATTAGTTTGGACAGAAATTTTTTCCGCACATATTTATATTTTCACTATTATGATCCGAAACTAAAATTTGGAACCTTTATTATGATACCAACTTGTAGAGCAAAATTTACCCTATACAATGTGCTATTTGAGTTTTCTTTTGTCTGTCGGCAGGGCACCTGAATTTTCGTGTTCCCTACATCGCCATTTTTGAAAAATTAATTTTTTTTACCAAAACCGTTTTAAGTGGAAAGCAGGTCTTGGGAAAATGCTACAGCTTAGTTCAATACCACATTTTGTAGAGAATTGTTCACTTTACAAAACTACCAAATCCGACAATTTTTAGCATATTCGCAAAGGGACTTATAGGGGTTAGCAAAATCTGTTTGTTCAGAGTCCAAACTAATTGTTAAGACCTTTCAAAGATTCCCTGACTACTCTCGAACAAAAGCCGACACACAATTTCTAAGTCCATAATCCGAAAGAGCACAACATTCTGGTTCTAGCGCATAGATTTGGACTCGCCGGAAATAATTTCAAGCAGATCAAAAATGAACAAACATTTTGTCTCAAAACTTTCGCGCACCACGTTATATACGAACTTAATTTTCTTCTGAAAAAGAACTATCGACATATTAGAAAACAATAAAGTTTTTAGGAAATCTATGCTTACGTTTTGGCATTCGTCTCGTTCTTGAACGTAGATTATAAGTTGGAGTCATTGGAGAATTTCCTGTAAAACAGAAATAATATTACAATCGAGAATTTCTTGAAATTCATGTCAAAGATAATGTGTCTATTTCTAACATTCAAAACTATCATAAGCAGTTAGCAAATGAGAACCTATTTGATTCCGGGGCTCTGTTTTCTACCTTGAAAACTTGTTCCAGCATCATTATCTCCTTCTTCGTCAACAGCTGGTAGTCTCGATGTCGACAGATCATTTCCACGACGCTATTAAAAAGTGTAAAATTAGAAAAAGAAATTATTTATTAGAATAAAATCTAACCTTTCTTTTTTTTGATGATGGCGGTTCAGAACAAGTTGACATGGCATCATCATTATCTATTGTAGAACAAAATAGTCTAGTTTATATTACAAAATTCTAGTCGGTTACCTTCAGCCATTTCATCACCAGTATTTAATGTCGATTGAAAATCAACACTTTGTGAACGAACCTTAAAAATAAAAAATAAAAAATAAAAAAATAACTATTGATTAATTTAAGCTTACAAAACGAGGTTTGATTGGTGTTCGTTCATTGGAACTAGAAAATGAAATGATACAAATTCATATGAAGAAAGTATATTCTATTTACGCAATCCGGAGACGTTTTGATGGAGTTTTAGATTCAACACCAGTATCGAATGAACTATCGTCCATACTCTGGGGGGAAAAAAAGAAATAAACATCTATGCGAAAGAATGATACAAGAGTAAGTCAATTACCAAATCTTGTTGAATTATCAATGGTGATGGAGGTTCACTAATAATGAAACATGGCAGTTAAATATTAAGAACTCAAATTTAGTTTTACCTTATTGGCAAGTTATGATCTTTCTTTTGTCGAGCGTATCGTTCTTTCACATCAAAATAATCTTTTTCTAAATGAATCATTTTTGCTTCATGCTAAAACAAAAAGATGAAGTAGTCCTTTTTTAATGGCGCTTGAAAATAGAAACTTACGTTAACAATACGTTCGTGTAAAAGACGAATATCATTTTCTTTAAGCGTTATGGTTTCTTTTAATGAGATATTTGTTACTTGTGAACTATCTAATTCCGTTTTTAATTTATATATTTCCATTTCAAGTGCTTCTTCCTAGAAAAGAAAAACAGAATAGAATTGAAATGAGTTGTGTCGACAAAATCCTATTCTATTTTATGGAACTCTATCCAGGGGTGAAATAAAACTTTTGTCGGACCATCATTTTTAATTCTTCGAAGGCGATATTTTTCTGTTGAATGATTAAAATAGACATTTACCTTTTCTTTAAATTCACTTAAAGATTTTTGTTGTTCGTCATGAGCAGTGTCGAGACGTTTTTCCACAGCATCACATTCGTTTCGGCTATCTCTTAATTCTAATAAAATGTAAACAAGTTCATACGTAAATGCTTTGCATTGAATTCGCTTACCTTTACGCATATCATCCATTTTCTCTTCATATTCTTTTTTATCTGTAGCCATTTGCTAAATAATTATAAAATTAAATGATTTCCTTTTTTCTATTTTTAATAAAATTTTACTTTTTGAATATGTTCAATTTTTTCTGTTAATTTATTTGTCCAGCTTCTCAATTGTTGTGTACGTTCTTCTTCTTCTTTAAGTCGATTTTCAAGTGTCGCTGATGGTAGAAGACGTGTTAAAACTGTTGTTGTATCTGCATTACGTAATTTACTTTCCAATTCAGAAACCTAAAGAAACCAATTTCTCATAGAATTTGCATGCGACTCAGAAAAGGATTTACTTTAGCTGCTGATTTAATTTGTTCATCGTGGAATTTCGAACTCATTTCTTCGCATTCACGTTGAAGTTTTTGTAAATCATTTTGTGCATCTTTTACTTTGATTCTCAATGATTCAGTTATAGCAAAATGTTGTTCAAGTTCGTATTGATGACGTTTCTGTAATTGACGATAGAGAATTTCGAGTTTAGTTAAACTAGTTATATGTGCTGGGGTTCCATTGGTTAATTCAGTTTGTTTAACACAATCTTTCATAATCGACTAAAATATAGACAAAAATAAAGATTGATCGATCCATTGAAATATTCAATTTTACATTTAGTTCTTCAACGGATTGCTGTAATCGACTGTTGAGAAGATTTTCTTCTTCACTATTTGTTTTTAATTCGATGTCTTGTTTCATACGAGCGAGAACATGTTCTTGTAATTGACTCATTTGTTGTTTTTCATTTTGAACTTTATCGATCTCAGTTTTGAGATTCGACACGGTCTAAATGGAAAAGAAAAACGTCATGGCAGATGAAAATAGTTAATTTGTTTTCTTCTTACGGATAGCAATTCATCATATTCATGTTGAATAGATCGATTTTGTTCTCTTAATTGTTCACAGAGCAGTTCATTGGTTTGAACATTGCCAAGAAGAGAATTTGTACGTTGAAGACTTTCATCAACAATATGTTGGAATTCATCGATCTAGATAGAACGGATGGTTTTTTGGCAAATTGAAATTTTATTTCCTTTTTCAAATTACCTTTTGTTTATCATTGAAATTTTGTCTTTGAGCATGATCTAATTTTTGTTGAAGAAATCTAGACATAAAAATCATGATTAAAACATTCCGGTCACTCTAAAATTCGTTCATTCCTATCTTTCAAGTTGAGCCTGAATCGTTTTACTATACGAGAATATTTTATTGTGAAATAAAAAAAGAACTGTTTCTCTCAGATCCTTTCGTACGAAGAAATCTTATTCTGTATTACGATTATATCTTACTTCACATGATCATTAATTCTATTAAGTTCGAGATCTTTATCATCGGAAATTCTTTGCAAATATTTGACATTATCTTCAACGTGTTTAAAATCATTTAAATTGATATCTGTTTGCATATGAATTGTGTGCATAGTAGCTGTCTTTGGATTGTGAAAATGTTCTCGGTCTAGAACTTGTTTAGCAAGTGATTGTATATTATAATCTGTTCTTGTTTGATCAAGTTTTACGCAAAGTTGTTCAAAATTTTCTTTTAATACACACTCTCGTTGTGTTATTTCATTCATTTCTTTCGTATGTTGTTCTTCTAATTCATTTATAAATCTATCTGTTTCACGTATATCAGCTAATGTTTTCATATACTGTTCATAAAGTTCTTCAACACTATTAAATGTCACAACACCTTGACGTACAAGTACTTCATTGTCCATCATTGATGATAACGAATGTAAATGACCTTTGACATTACCATTTTCCAGTAAATGAAATATTTGTGCTCGCATATTATTCCGATCATCTAAACAATCATCATAATCACGAATTTTTTGCTGTAATTGTCTATCTAATTCAATTTTTTCTTTAAATAATGTTTGTTTATCACGTATGGCTTGTTCATAGTCATGTTGGCGATTGTCAGCTAGAAACTGTAAACGTTCATTTTGAACTTTGAATTGTTGCGATTCCGATTGAGTTTGATGAAGAAGCTAGAAAGTAAAAATGATTGTTTTAGATTTTTATGAAATTTTTGCTTTTACGTTTTCATTATAACGTCGTTGAGAATCAATTTTTTCTTTTAGATTTGTTAAAGTTTCGTTTTGTTTTTGTAAAAGTGCATAATCGACAAGAATCTGTAAGAGAGAAAATATCAGATGAAAAATAAATAAAATGAATAATTCTATTTTTACATCGAATAAACTTTTTGATGAACGATAAATAGCAAGAATCGATGCACTATTTGGATCAGTTTCAATTAAACGTAATTCATCATCAGTAAGAGTTGCTAAAAACAAACAAAAAATATATAATAAACTGTTCTACATGAACAGTTTTATCATTGGATTCTGATATGTAAATTCAATCTAGCTTCTCTACAGAACTTTGTTTATCAAGTCTCACAACTTCAAACTTAAATTAAGAGAATTCTGAGTTGGACACAACCCACATCTATTCGCAGATTGCAATACTTTTTTTTTATTGATTAAACATTTGAAATAATTTCATAATCAATCTGTACGAACTTTTTAAGATACGCTTTCGAAAGAAGTACTGAATTATATTGATTTGCATTCAGACAAATGTCTCAGGAACACTTCATGAGATATGGGATAAGCAACATTATGAATATCTCCTATTCATCAGAAGACTTAAATTGCAGTTAGACTTCAATATATCATCTTTAGATAGCATCCGACTACTACTTCAATATTGAATGAAGAAAAACAAATTTGAAAAAGTGCGCCAAAAAAAACTAGGTGAAAACTGCGTAGGTTATTCTTACAGCTGACGAATACTTCCACATATTTATCTTTGACCTGATGTTTTTTATACCCACTATTTACGTTCTATGCGAATTCGATCTTAGAAATATTCACGAAAACATTTATATTGTATTTCATATTTCAATCCTTTAAATGTGGCATTAGTCGCTTTAATTAAAATTTACATTTATCTGGTATTTGAGATCGGCACGATTGTGAAATATCTTGGATTCTTTGTTCAAGTTCTTTTTTATCTAAACGAATTTAATAACAATAAAATAAAAGTATTGCAAAATGAAAAAGTTTACTTTTATCATTGGCTTCAAGTTTTTGTTCATATCGAGTAAGAAGTTCTTGAAGACTATCGACTTTTTCATCTTTTTTGTTTAATTCATTCTAAAAATGTTTCCCAAATTATAAAAACAAAAATTTCATTTCTAGAATTCACTTTTAATAACTGTGTCTCAGTTTTATGTCTTTCTATCAAATCTTCATGAGATCTTTCAAGTTCCATAATACGTCTTTTGCACTAAAACAGAACACAAAATGATATTTAGATAAATGAAAACAAGCGACATCGATTCTACTTCATCAAGCTCATGACGATGATGATCTTCTGTCTGTTGAATAGGTATTGAATATTGACTTTGCTTTTGATTTTGAAGTAATACATTTTGTCGATGCAGTTCATCAATTTGTAAACGTGATTCTTCATATTGCTGAGTCGTTTGATATAATTTTTTTTCTAATAAATTTTTTTCTTCTTTAAGTATGGTTACATGTATTGTACTTGCACTTTTTTCTGCCTAAAATTTTAAATATTCACGCAAATAGAAAGCTGAAGATCGATCACAAACTTCAGCAGCAAGTTTTTCTTGTTTTAATTTTTGATTGTTAATAAATAGTTCATCCCGTTCACTACGAAGCTGTTTTAAACTTTGGCTAAGTGTACTTTTTTGAACTAAATTAATCAAAATAATACTTAGAAAAATTAAATAAGAAAATAATTACATATAGCTTCAGTTAGTAATTTTTCTTTAGCTATCAATTCCGTCCGAAGTAGACCACGTTCATTGAATATTTGTGAAATATCATTTTGAAATGTTTCCTAGAACAAATCCTCAATTGTTCTAGTGAAAGAACGCTGTGCTATCGATACTTACAGCAAGATCTGACATTTTAGATAGAATCAATTAGAGCAAATATTTTCAACAAGAAGATCGAATAAAAAAAATAACAATGAATGAACAAAATCGAAATGGATAAGTCGTTATCGTTTAATTATGAATAAGCATTTCGCCAGTCTATACTGAGTTCACAAGAGGACGCCACTTGGTGATTAAAGAGAAAAAGTTTTTCACAACCAGTTTGTATGTACTGAGGATTCATAGGAAGAAAACAGCAAGAAAGGGAAAATATGCACTTCCATCACATCGAATATTAAAAGGATGTTGGACATTTTAATTGTAGGCTAGACTTATCTATCTATCATTGGGTAGTCAAAGATAGGAAAGGTGACATTAAAGAACCTTTTCGTGCCATTCTGTTTATAGAAGATAGTTGTTAGTTTTTGCCTATACCATAAATTAATTTTTATTTGTATTTTTGTAAATCTGATACAATTGAAAACAAAAATTTCGCCCTTCTTTTATAGGTTGTATACTTATAAAAAAATATGCCAAACTTTGTTTTTATTATATTTCGACTCTTGAAAGAAGAATGCTCGAAGTACTTCAATGAAAAAAAAAATAGAAAAAAATGATGAGGGAGCAGTGGGCACAAAAACAAATAGAATTACGTTGTGAATTTGATCACGTTGTCGAAAATTTTTCGTAAACATTGCAATCAAAAAAAACTACTAGCTGATCTAATTTAACTTTCATAAATAGCAACTTCATGATTAGTACGATTCAGTACGAAAATATATGACATTGAAAACTTGCTAACGTTCGGACAAGAATACCAACAATATGTATGGCTCTATAAGTTTCTGTGCCAACACCGAGCTTAAAATTATTATCGATGTCAATGCCAAACGTTTCATCGTCAAGGTTCGCCTTGTTGACTAGTTGATTAAGTATGAATGTGTAGATCCAAGATCAGAAACTATTTGCCTACGTCTAATTTTAGAATTCACTATAGCAAAAAAAAATGTATATATATTTGTCTTTGATTAATGAAACTCATGACATAGTCAAACATGAACGGATTGAACAAATATCGACGCAAAAGAATTTCAAATTATATTTGCGAGTCATAATTTTAACTCGAATGACTTGTACCATTTTATTTTCGTTTTATATTTACTCGCACCGAATTCTTGAATATTCTCTATAAGAAGAAAGAAAATGCGCAACACAGTATCCAAAATAAATAACAAATACAAAAGAAAAAGAGAGAATATATATATATATATGTATATATCTACAGGACTAATAGAAAATTTAAGATGAAAAATATATTTAGATATGAGAAATAATGAATAATAATAATAATAAATAATCCAAAAAGAAAAAAACAAAAATGAAAATTGTCTTTTGATTAGTCATACTAATGGTATATTATCTAATGGACATTGATTGGAAAAGTCCTTTAAGTATGTTTCAATGCAATGCAAATGAAAAATATGTTTGCATGGTAATAATTTAAGTTTTTGTTCATGTTGATATTTTTCCATGCATATTGTACATTGTTCACCTAGGTGCATATCAATAACATCAATGGTTGGTAATGTATTTAGTATGTTTGTATTCAATGTTTTGCGTTTAACACGTTCATCAAGTCGTAATAACATTTCGTAATCTTCCGGTGAACTAAAATAAAATCTTATTAGTATATAAAAAAAACAGAAACAAAAAACATTACAGATCACGATTTTGCATTTCAAGAAGAAATTCAACCATATCCTCATCAAATGATGGTTCATCGGGAATGTTATATTGATGCAATGTATAGTCAGGAAATAGATATGCACCTAAATTTGTTTGAGACTCATCAACAAATATATTATTGTTTGGTTTGGTTTTTCGAACTTTACTAAAAGATGTTGAATAATATGTATACGATGAATCATATGAATGACGATATTGATGTACAATCGAACGAAGTGCTTCAAGTGAATATAATGGAACAGGTTCTGGTGATCGAATATAATTATAACTGGGCTCATCAAGTATAATTTTTTTAGCTAAACGATGATGTATATACAAACATTTATTATGGGATTTAATTTTAATTGATTTAGCATGTTTAGTTTTAATCTGACGTTGTGCGTTCATTTTTTTCTTTGAACGTTTAGATCTTTGATAGGGTTCGTTTTGTAAAGATTCAATAGCAACAAATTGCTGTTTAGTAACATGCTTTTGAAGATATAATTCATCATTGTTATCATTATCATAAACATATGATGATTCATCTTCACTGTCCGTTGGGTAAATAAATTCAAGAGAACATGAACTATTGTCATCATCGTGATCTAACAGATTTTGATCTGAAATCCCACTTGAACTAAATCGTAAAAGCAAAGAATAAAATTAATATTTTCTTATGAAGTACTAGATATTATAAACTACCTTGTACTTGATGGAAGTAAGAATGATGCTGAAGATGGAGAAGAAGGTATAAAAAGATCATCACTCAAAATGCTGGCCGGTTCACTACTATTACTATTTGATCGAGTACGATGAGGTGAAATATCTCGTCTTCCTATTAATGTTGTTGTTGTTGTGCATTCTAATTGATTAATAGCACCTGACAATGGACAAACATGAAATCTATCAGTCTCAATAATCGTCCTCATATTATTAAATAAAATCTGCAAGAAAAATATTTAATATGAAGAGAAAATTTTCTTAGATAAAATAATATTTGGTCATTCACTGCGATTGTAAGCGAATCATATTGTTGCAAATACAGAATGACAAAAAAAAAGTAGTACGGAGAGTAACGAGAGAATGGGAGCGAGGTATGAGTCAGAATCGATGATTTTTTTCCAACCAACACATTTGTGCTATTGTTCTTTGCTTTAATTTAGTCTCTATTTTGTTCTTTTCGGAACCACAAAAAGAAAGATTCTTTTTGTTGTACAGTCAACAAAGCACATGAATGGACTAATCGAGACAGAAAAAGAAGGCAAGAATAAAAATACAATATTAATTGAAAACAAAAATGAAATAAAAACAAACCAAAAGGACTGGCTATATAAACGCGTATGTTATAAACATGATTTTTAAACTGCTAATGCAGGCTAACATCAAAAAATAAAATTGACAAGAGAAAACAGCAAAAAGCAAATAAAAAGAGAACTGTATATGACAAAAGAAAGTATGTGTTTTTAGTTTTATGTGAATGATAATCATCACCATAAGAGATTTATCTACAAAAAAACGTTTCTCTTCTCATTTTGCTACTGCTGAAATAAAAAAGAAACAATTCACTATGAAAGAAATTCACCGGCTAGAGAAGAAACAGAGAGAAAAGAAATAACTGTAATACTTTTAGATAGATAGATATAAATATTTACATATTTAAACAACAGGAAAAGAAGAAACGAAGTTAATCAGATCAGGGCATATAAGAAGTCGTCGTCGGGATAGTCAAATGTTGAGCGAGTAAAGGATTTTTATTGCAATGAAATAATGATGACGTTTGTGGTGGTGGATGATAATGAGATGGACTAAAGAATTGCGGTGTTTGATGATGATAATAATGATGAACATCACAGTCCATTTCATTGTCATCATCGTCGATATTTGCTAAACCTTCTGATGATGACGACGATGAAGATTTATTTTGATTCGAATATTGATAATTCGATGATAATAGTAATGGATTTTGTTGATGCTCTTCTTGAATCATATGAAGACCAGCTGAGTTTGTTGGCGAAGGAACAGCTACAGACGAAGTAATGAAAAAATAAGAAATGAAAAACGTCTTTTTGTTTTAATTTACTGTTACCGGCTGCTCGTCGAACCACTGATGTATCGTTATTGTTTGTTGGATACTATAATGTGATGAATTGAAAGCATGACTTTATCTTCAATATTTTATTCAGCCTACTTTTTGTACTTGTTTCTTCAATTTTTGTAATTCTTGCAAACTTGATGCTGTTAAATCATCGTCACTTGGTTTTGAATTAACAGCATTATTATACAAGCGTTCAAGATGAGCTCGTGCTGTGCCATTCATAAAAGTTGAACTTGTGTCACTTGCACGACGTGATGATAAACCTCGTTCTTTAGTAGGTTCACGAGTGCCACCACGTCGAGGTTTTCCACCAAGTAAAAGGCCTTGTTCACATACGGTATGACGTTTACCAAGATTGAGATATCTGAAGTTAAGAAAAATAAAGATAAGTTTTGCTTTGAAAATTTTTTCAAACGAACCGTGCAAGAACTTCAGCATCGTCATCATCTTCATTGGGAGGATTTTGTTGTTTATCTTCTTCATTTTCTTCGTCTTCATGTGGAGTAATGGAAAATGCTGGTGGTGTTATTGGTGCACCACGTGTTATACTTCCTCGAGAGGATCTCTAAAAAATAATTAATCATGGCTTTATGAATTATTTGAAATTTTCTTCTAGTGATTCTTCTTTTTTTTACATTAGATAATGGAGATTGTGTATATGTTGGATGTACAGCACCAAATGTATTCGAACCGGTAACACCATATTGTTGTTGAAATAGGAGAAGATGAGCACCACTATCACTAGCTCGTCGATTCATATCTATGGAAGATGAATTTCAATTTTTTTACTATTTTCATAGTGTGTGGCGATTCTTAAAAATAACATACGAAAATTATGAGAAATTGGTGGTAAAAGCCAATGTGTATCTTGTTGCGGATGATTATGTACATCTAATGACTTGTTATTTATCACAGGTGAGTATCCCGAATCACCATTCAAGCTTGTTGAATATGCATCTTTTTGCTGAAAAGTCGATGGTACTGGTGGTGATATTGAAGAGCTTTCATCGTCATTATGAGGTTTTCGTATTGTTTCAAAGTTTTGTTGTTGCTGAAGATTTGTAAGGCGATTTGATAGAAGTGCTGGTTCAAGACTCGATGCTTGATGAGCAAAACGTACTTTTGAAGCAAGTATTGGAATAGGTCCCCCGTGTACAAGTAGTTCAGGTCGACCAATAGTGTGTCGTCTTAAACCACGCGCTCGAGTATATTGTTCACGCAATTGTGCTGATGTTACATCATCTTCTTCGCCATCATGATCATTATCATCTTCATCATAGCAATCATGATAATCCATACGAATTTCTGGTTCTTGTTTATGATCATCAACGTGTTTTGGTGTACGTTGAAGATCACACGGATCTAATTGTGGACGTATAGATTCAGTCTAATAGAAAAAAAAACAAAATACAATAAATTATTGAACTGAAAACTTTATTTTTACCGCATTTGGTGCTGAATAAATTAGTTCCGTATTATTTTCATCGAATATTAATGGTGCTGTTGAACGTCTTGCCATATCCGAATTATTCATATCATTGGGAAGTACTGATTCGAATGGAATGTGAGAATCTAAAAATGAAAAATGTCATCGAGTATTTTTACATTGAATCTTGTCCTACTGTCGATTTGACATGTTTGTTGAAATTTTTCTAATAACAAATGCCATATGGCAGCATCACTATCATAGGAATTGCCATTAACAGATTTTAATATCTGTGTACGATTATAACCAAGTGATTCAGCATGATCAAGGATAGCATTTGTTAGTTGACAATTTGGTACTAATTGTGTTTGACATATTAAATCAGATACATCTGAATCATTCGATGTAAACCATGAGTGCTTTTTTATATCATTTATTGTATAACGTTGATTTGGATCGACAATTAACATATGACTGATTAATGAACTACAATCTGATGGATAGAAGAACGATGGTTTTGTTTTTAGTACAAAGATTTTCATTCGAATAGAAAAACAAACCTGAACTAAGATAAAATGGTAAACGATAATTTCCCGAAAGAACACGTTTTCGTAAGTCAGCAAGGTTATTACTATCGAATGGTAAATGGCCACAAACAAATACATAAAGCAAAACACCGAGTGACTAAAATACAAGAACAAGATATCTTTCGTGTGAACTCTATGAACGTTTAAATTTTGTTCATTTGTCATACCCAAATATCAACTTTTTCGGGCGAATATGGAAGACATTGATAAAGTTCAGGAGCTGCATAACTATTTAAAATGAATGAAATATTTACATGGATATTTTCAAGCAAAATGAAAATTTTCTTACGGTGGTGAACCACAAAATGTTTGTAGTTTCGAATCAGGATAAAATATATTAGCAAAACCGAAATCTTTGAGTAGAAAAAAAATTCAACAAATAAGATTAATACTGCGTACTGTTTTTCGTATCGAATTATTATTAATATAGAATTTCCAGTATCTAATTTTATGTTATTGTGAACTAGAAAAAGTAGCTACCTCGATCAGACATTCGATCTTAGATTGCATCTCGATTACATTCAATGATAAAAAAAAAAAAAGTTTCAATAATGCGTTCGAAGCACAGCTGTCTAAAAAAAAGGACTATTGTATTGATGATTATTTTGAAGATAGACAATTGCAATAGATATTTTACTGTGTTATTAGATTCAATCTATGGTCGACGTATGTTTCAATCGTTCTGACGTGTACTGAATACTCCATTAAATAGCTTCATCAAGCCGAGAAGATTTGTCGGATTTATGTTTACTATTGAAACATATATTAGATAGTGTTCATTTTACTCCTTTGCTCTAGCTTATTAATTGGCTCTGGCATGTTAAACTAGAATCTTTAATTTTTTTTCCTTTTAATCAAAGTACGTTAGAATTGTAAAGCTCCATAACCTATTCTCTGTTCTTGTACGCCAATCTTCGGTAAGATTTTTGTTGACCTCTACTGCTGCTTAAGACAAAAAATCCTTTTTCTTTCTGTTCTTTGCTCTTGTTTTTTTTTCTTCGGATCATTTTTTCTTCGGGAAGCGACCTCAGGCATTTATCGTAAAGCATAAAAAAGATAAACAACTATTATTACGATAAAAGGTAACTTTTCTTACTTGACTACTACTATTTATCAAATGTAGTAGAGCTCATGCAAAAAAGGTTCTTTTTTTTTGTTACGAAATAATCTTGTTTATCAGAAGAAAATAATTTTTTTTTGAAAAACTCGATCATAACAAGCTATCAAGTATTAATGTACTTTAACTGTCATTTATCGTATTATGATATCAATTTCAAATCAAAATTTCATCCCTCCTATTCTTGCAAGTAATCTGAGAACAGTAACAGATTGCAAGCACTTATGTGCTTAGTAAATAGAAAGATAACTACCTGCTACTTTAATATTGCCTTGGCTGTCCAAAAGTAAATTTTCAGCTTTTAAATCGCCTGAAGGAAAAAAAATATTGAATGTTTAATCATGAAAATAATTGAATTCCTTACGATGAACCTAAACAAAAAACCATAAGTACAATTAGTAATTTAATAAAAAACAACAAATAACCTAGGATAATTAACTTACGATGCTTTTTGAATGAATATATTCGACAGCTAGAACAAGTTGTCGAAATTTTTCTTTTGCTTTCGGTTCACTTAAGCGTTTTTCACGAATAAGTAGATCTTTAAAAAAAAGTAAAAAAAAAACAACATTCTTTTGGTTTGTTATTCAGCAATAGAAAAGAAAACTATTTGTTTACCTAATAATTCACCATTAGCTGCATATTCTGTAACTAAATAAATAAGATTCTTCGATTCCATTACCTTTAAACAGGAAACATATAAAAATATTTTTAGAAAAAGCAACATTTTTTGATTGACTTACTTCATAAAGTCGAATAATATATGGATGTATTAATGATTTCATAACAGCGATTTCACGTTCTAATTTTTTATGATCACCAGGATCTAGACGTGATTTATCAATAATTTTTATCGCTACCTATATAAAAACGCTGTAGTTAAATCATCGATTAAAACTGAGTTAAATACTTTTTGTTGTGTGTCACAATGTGTAGCTAATTTAACAACAGCAAAATTTCCTTTGCCAATAGTTTTTTCAAGAAAATATTTTCCGATTTTCATTTGTCGATGATGTTGTTGTTGCTGTTGTTGTTGGAAATAGTTTTCTGTTATAGTCGATTGCGGAGGAGCAGGAGGAGGCGGAGACAGAGGAGATGGCACATCTGATCGTAGATAACTGTTCGAAGTAATTGTAGATGTACGTGAATGAGACGTTGTTGGTGATAGGGATGTCGATTTTGATGGCATAGGAAAAATAGGGATGGATAAAATTGCCGAGACCGACGAAGGAACTGGCGATAATTGTGGCTCGCTAAACATCTGAAATAAAATAAAAAATGAAAACAAAAACAAAAAAAAATACCAACGATTTGCACGCAATGTTTCTGGTATTTTATCACATTATATTCTTACCATGTAATTAGGATGAATATTTCTTTAATCTCATGAACAAAAACAAACGCACGAAAAGAGGAGAAAAAAATATGAAGTTAGACATTATCACCGTATGTCACTATCTGGTTGCATATAAAAATGTGGTTTTAGTCAGAACAGAAACATTTTCTCAACTTTCAACTTGTTGTTCTACGTCATCGTTCGTGACTGCGTTGTAACAAAAGGAAACAAAAGAATCTCAAATGACACATAAAATATACCTTTGAGCATTCAATACGGCTACTGGGGGCGCCACCAGAAAAAAATTGTATAGGGGGGGGGCTAAACTTATTTTTTCACAGGATTTTATTTTTTCTAGGGGGGCTGAGCGCCCGGGGGCGGGGGGG